CCTAGTTCTGTGCTCAGGGGTTACCCCTGGCAGGGTCATGGACCATATGTGGTGCAGGAGGTTGAATTGGGGTCTGCTGCTTGCAATGCAAGCACCTTAACCTCTGTGCTTTCTCTGGCCCCTGGCCTGTACCTTTTGGAGAATCCCCCTCTCCCAGATTATAATAAAAAACTGAAATGAATGAATCCTAAATTGATTATCTCTGCCCATATGAGGTCTTCTGAAAAGAGGGACCACAAGGAGTTTAATAAGAGAAATGTCTCTTGCTGGGCTTAGCCTGTCTCTTATAGTGGTTCTAGGTGTTAGACAGGCCTTTGCCCATCTGTTAAGGGCTCCAGGTGCCAAAGGGCAATAGGCACTGCTTCCTCCCTTCAGACTTCCCTTTTGCTGCCATTCAAAGCACAGAGGTGGAAGCAGAAGGCATCTTATCCTGCCCAGGCCCTTAGAAAGGTAAGAGAGCAAAGAGGTCCCAGGGGTGACTGCCACTGGCAACAGTATGTTCTCCAGAGCCAACTCCAAGGAGTTAATTGATGTGTTTTCTTATTTCTGTAAGCTGGTGATTAACCTTGATCAGGCGTGAATATATGTGTGGGTACTTCCTTCCTGAAAGGCTTTATAATTCTTGTGCGTAATATAGTTTCTCCTTTTTCTTACCTTTCAGGCGACAGCTCTGATAACTCTGATTTGGAAGATGACATCATCTTATCGCTGAATGAGTGAGGAGCTATCATCATGTAGAAGAGATTTTGGCAGGCGAGAAACTGAGTCAAATGAATTCAGAACATTTGAAATCCCTTCCCTTTCAACCCAGGGCTTTCTGTCTTTTAAGGAACTGTATGCCCTGCATTCAGAGGATTATGGCTTGGAGAGTCTCATTGGAATCTGAGGGTCCTTCTAAAAACAGTTAACCACCACACACAAAAAAAGACAAAAGGGGTTAGGCCCCAATCTGCTTCCCCCTTCTCCAAGGATGGACATCTTTCCTCAAGGGAAAAAACAAAACGTGTCTCTGGGGTTATTTCACAATATATTTTCTTTGTATAATGTTCTTTACTTAAAGAACAAGAAATAGTTTTTTATAAAACTTAAAAAGAAAAAAAAAAACCAGGCATTTATAACTGAGGGTATGAACTTATATCCACCAAGTCTCTTGTCCCTGCACCTCATTTTCTATGGAAGAAAATGATGTCTAAAGAACAATATAGAGGCATTTTTACATACATATTTAAATGAAAAGGAAAATCGTGGTTTCTTAAATTGATAAGGATTAAGAATATTTTATTATAAATATAATATATGATTTTTTAACCTGTTTTGTTGCCTCATATGCTGTCGCAGGTTAATTTGTTTTTCTTCATGCTAGAGGTGGGGAGGAAGGCACTGCTTGTTTGCTGGGTAAATGCCTCGGTTCACCCACCTTCGTGGTTTGGGGGCAGCAAGGTCTTTGTGGATATTGGTTTTGTGGAGTTGAGGAACTTAGGATATAAGTTCACTCCCTCTATTTTTCTTTGTGATTCTTATTTTCAAAAATCCTTTTTTCTTCCCTTTCTCCCAATGTGGAAATTACAAATCAAAGGCCTTTTTCTTTAATGTAAAGTGTATTTATTTAAAAAAAAATACAAAATAAACAAGTCTGTCTGTTTGTTTATAGCCCTTCCCCCCAGCCCCCCCTTTTTTTAAACCAGAGTGGGGTCTGTCTGTTTCCTTGCAGCGCTAGCCAGGCAGTGGAGGACGCCTTTCAAGAGTGGCAGTGCAGCATGGTGGTGAGACCAATTCTGCCCAATTAAAGCATTCTCAGAGGGAGTGAACAAATAGACTGTCCAACCCTGTGTAGTTTAGGAATGGAGGAAGGAGCTCAGGACACCATTTGTTAGGACACATTTCTCGTGTTTTTGGCCTCAGAATCAAGATAGTTCCAGAGTGAAGATTTAATGGAGCTGAAAAATTAGGGGGTCCTGGGAAGCTTTTGGGGAGGAAGAAGCAAAGCCAAGAAGTATTTTTGGCCATCGGCCATCAATGTAGATGGGTAACTGGCGTTACTGTTTCTTTGAAAGGGAAATATAACTATGGACTTGAGCATGCCTTCTGTTTGGGGGCAGCTGGGTTTGCATACCCCACAGGCCTCTAAAACTGGCTTCTGGTTAAACTGCTATCAATAGGTGCTCTTAAGCTGTTAACTGCTTTTCTTTCACACTGTACATATGGGTATCTAGTTTATTCCTTGATTTTTGTCAAAAAGCTTCTCATTTTTTATCGTACAGGTATTATATAGCTAAAACAACTGCCTTTTATAGAAGAGGGATGCATTTGATTGTAAACAAGCAAGTCAAGATAGCTAAAACTCACCAGAGTCAGGGGAAATGCGACCGGGCTTCAGAGGACCAGACACTTGATCATTATGTGGCCCTGTGCCAGACAGGTCCCTCCTGGTCCTCTTGAGAGCAGAAGTCTTAACTCCTTTTTTAAAATTTAAAAAACTTCAGAGTTTTTATTGAATGAAATTTACTTAGAGCTTATCGGAAAGAAGAGGGGAATATGTGTTCAGGAGAACACGGGCTTCTCCAGAGTGGAAAAAGCAGATTCGTGTTCAAGGAGAATACAGACCAGCTTGAAATCATGCTTGTCTCAGGTCTGAGTTCATGTTTTAGCTCAAGTGAGTTGTTAACATTTAATCAGTGGAATAGTCTGATAGCTGATGCATGAGAAGAAAACAAAATCAAGAAAGAAGTGGTAAAAGCAGTATAGTCATTAAGTCACCAGAGTTGCTATCTCCCTGGACTTTACTTAAGAGCTCTTGGGAGAACCAGCTGTCTCTGAGGTGGAGATGAGGCCTCTAAAAGGAAAGCAGAATTCTGGTTGACTTGGCAACAGACCCTTGGGAAAGTGCCCTCAGGGCCTAAGGGAAACAGCACCTGGTTCTCTGGGGGCTTAAGTACAAAATAGGCAAATTTTGTCTTAGGTTGATTTTTGCCTTTAAGCAACACCTTTGGCCATGACTGAATCCCAGATGGAGGGTTCCGGATGTATGCAGTTGAGGTTTTCTTTCCGTGGGAGGGACGGCGGAGGTCTTATAAATTAGCAAGACCTCACCTACCTCCCTTGAGCCTGCCAAATCATTTGTAAGGTAACAGAACCTGCTATATTTTAAAAACCGAGGGAAGAAAGTGGTTGAGAAAAAGGATCTTAGGAAGAATGGAGGAAGGAAAAAGTTACATAACTAGACTTTTTTTTTAAATTGTTTCTTGGGGCTCAAGAACATTTATCCTTGAAGAAGGGTGGAGAAGCATGGGTTGAGATGTATACTTTCTAGCTAGTTTATTTGGACAAGGTAGGTGATACATTTTTCTGGATTTGAGCACCAGCAGCTCTCTATAGAAACTATTTAATTCTGCAAGGCAGTTTTGGCCTGTAACTCAAGCACTTGCCAAAGAACCGTAAGAACCCCTGAACTGAGCCTTCAAACCATCCCTATGTTATTTGCTCATAAGGCATAATCCTGCTTGTGGCAGTTCCAGATGCCCAGTGGTCTGCCCTCCCCCTTGCTTAGATAGTGTCAGTTGTGGCTAAGTACAAATAGGCAAATGAACATGTTTAATACTTCTGTGTTAATATTTTATAATGAATGCACTTGTTCTCTCAGAAGGCAGTTGATGTTCAGTGAACAGCATGACTCAGGTCCCATTCTGATGGGACTTTCAAACTCCATGTTTGAAAGTCTCTATGCCCTTTCAGAGCCCCAGCCTCCATCTCACAAACTGTCTCCCAAAGCATCTCAGTTGTCACTTGTGCTAAGCTGGATTTAGTAGACCGGTCTTGGAGTGGTTAGCATAGTCAGTAGAACCTGAGGTTCCAATTATTTGATGTTGGTGGTGGGGAGTAGGGGGTTCATTCTTTAGGGGGTTCAGTCTCTTAATGTAGTGTTTTAATTCTTTTGGAATATCCAAACTACCACAGAAACATTCTGAAGAATGGCATATGAACTGTGTTTTATGCTGACAGTTGCTATTTGGCTCTGGTTACCTGCCCTGTTCTCTGACAGTGGCTTCACGTGCCAGTGTAGCCATACATACTGACTTGGAAACAAGTGAAAACAGTATTGAAAAAGACCCTTTCATGCTGTATTTGTCTCAGTGATGTCTCCGTGACCTCTGCCCACCCCCAGCTCTCAAGCTTGGCTTGAGCTCCAGCATCCCCAGCAACTCGGTGGCTGTAAGCTCAACCTCCTGGCAGAAAAACCTATTTTCCCGTTGTCTCTACCTCTGAGGCAAGAGGCCTCGGGACCTGAGAAAATTAAGTCACATAAAGGCTTCTTCCTGTCACAAATGTGAGTGCTATAGCACCTCAAAAATTCTGTTCAAAGCTCCAGGAATAAATGGGCACAGGTCTCTGTGCTTATACCTTGGCCCAGACCAAGGCACAGGCCAGGATTCACACAACACTGGATCAGAATTAACCAACACCCTGCCATCAATTAGTGGGCTTCTAGTGTGCTTGATTTTGCCCTCCAGGAATCCTGGCTGAATCTGCTGCACCTAGACCCTGTGGCATCTGTATTACACCACTTGCTCATATACAAAGCTGCATGTCTGGATACTACTTATTTCCAAGTGGTGTTAGGAACTGGCACTTTACTAGCTACAGCTCAAATGAATGGACTGTGATTAGGGCAGGAAATCAAATCCCGAAATCAACTGCAGCTGCTGGCTACAGACCTCAGGCTCACCCGCCCCCATCCTTTGCATGGGCTGTGCTCAGGCTGACATTACAGGATCCAGCTCCCAGATTGAAGCCCACCTGCTCAGTCAAGATTGAAAATAAATGTGAATACCGTTCTGACAGCCCAGAGAAATGAAAGAGGGCTGGGAGCCTTGACAGGGGGCTTTTAGACCTGGCAGTGCTGGAAAGATAACCTGGGCATTTGTGCGCATTCAATGAGAAACCTTCTATTCTTTGAGGAAAAACTTGATTAAACCAGGACTCTGAACAGGATTAAAAATCCATCCTCTGACAAAAGCTTTACTGACAACTTTCCATACAGTTAGTCAAAAAAATAAAAAAATACAGAACACAGCAGACAGTATCTCTTACACTAGAAATCAACATGACAGGAGTCCCTTCTCAGCGCTGTTAAAAAAATTACACCCCAAAACTTAGTTTTGGTGATGAACAGGACTTTGGCCCCCACCAAATCAAAATAACCCAGCAGAGAATTCAAACCAAGGGGGGAGTGGGGAGGGGATGTCAGATTTTAAAGTAACTGCTTTGTGACACAAACATGGGCTGAAAAAAGACAGATTTGGGCTAGGCAGTGTCTCTTACTATAACTATCACCATATGTTCTTCTTCTAGCTTGCCCAATGTCCTTAGTGCTGACTGGAGGTACTGCTGTGAGAAATCACAGGGTGGGAAGGCATAGAGCATGCCTGTGCTATCTCTGCCCTTGGACCCACCCACTGGCAGGCTGATCACTCCTGCAGCCTGCTTCTGTTTCAAGTAGGAGACCAGGTTCCTGAGAAGCCGCCTCTGTAGGCCTGGCTCCACTGTGGGGATCCCTTCAGTGCCAGGTCCACTAGAGGTGGCCTGGGTGGCCAGAAGCACTGCATAGCCATTGGGGCTCCCCTGTTTGATGCGCCGGGTAACCTCATCAAGCTTGGGCTGGTCCAGTCGAAGGCGCTGGGCAATCTTCAGCTGCGTCAGCTTACTCCCAGAAGTGTGGTCTTTGAGGAGCCCACTAATGACCCCTTGGTCTCCTTCTAGGATGTGCATAGATGTTGGGAAGCAGCTGTTTTTCAACACTAGAAGCCCATTCCAACCCAGCTGCAGTGTCTGGGCATACTCTGAAAGATTCTTGAGCTTTTTGGTCTCGTGTTTTGGCTCTTCTAGAGGCTTGGGGTCAGCCTCAATGGTCCGGTGATTGCGCTCGCTCTCTCTTGCTTTCTTCCCATGAGAAGAGTCTGAAACCTCGTGGTGGTGGTGGTGGCTCCGCTCCTCAGCCCCATGTCTGCTGTTGCTGAGGGAGTTGCTGCTACACTCCTTGGTCCCTTCGCTGGAGTGGTTTTCCTTCCGACTGCGCTCAGGAGTGCGGTCAGAGGCTCGATCTGCCTGCTGTCCACCCCCCTTGGTCCTGCTCCGTTCTTCATAAGGGGAGTGGGTCGTCCTCCCACGGTCACTGGAAAGGCTCCTCCGCTTCCGCCTCTCCTCCCAGGGCTTGGGCAGGCCCCGGTCCCCATCTCCCCAACGCTCACCACTCCGGCTGCGTGCAGAGCGGCTGTAGCCCTCTAAGCTGTTTCGGCGGTCAGAGCTTTTACTGGGGCTGGTCCAGTCCCCTTCCAAAAAGGTCCGGTCCCGGTCTGAATACAGAAGGTGTGGAGGGGTCCTATCCCGCACCCGTAGGTCAGCATCCAGGTTTCGATGCCGGTTATATCCATCTGGAAGTAGTTCATAGTGCACAGGGAGAGGGGAGGGCTGGTACTGCTGGGGATACCGAGTCTCCTCTGCTTTGGCAAAATCCACACGCAGCCTTCGGTCTGGACCACCCAAGGGAAAGCCCCTCATTTTAGCACAGGCGGCCTGGGCTGCATCCAAGCTCTCGTACTGAATATAGGCAAAGCTATCACCTTTGACGTGATCTATGGTCCGAATGCTTCCAAAGCGGTCAAACTCGCGGGCCAACGCTGCTAGTGAGGTGTTGGGTCCCAAGCCGCCCACCCAGAGGCGAGTGGTGGGGTTAGCCTTGCCGTAGCCTATCTTAATGGGGTTGCGGCCAATCACCCGGCCTGACATGGCCACCTTGGCCCTGTGGGCCATGTCCAGGTTCTGGAACTTGAGGAAGGCATAAGCACCGCCCTGGCCTCGTGCAGGCCTTTTGATGACCACCTCCTCAATGATGCCGTACTTCTCGAAGGCCCGGCGCAGCTCCACCTCAGACACACTGTGGTCCAGGTTCCCAATGAAGAGGTTGCGCGTGGCCCGCTGGTCATCCTCAGGCATCAGGTCCTCCTCACACACGGCCGGATAGCTGTAAGGGCGCCCGCGGTCGTCATACAGCCCGTAGTAATCCAGAGCCCGCTCCCGGGACAGGCCGACAGCGGCTGCGGCAGCGGCATCCAAGGCAAAGGCTGTGGCGGTGTGGCGGGCGCGGGGCTCCCGCAGCGGCGGGGCGGCGACGGGGGACAGGGAGCGCTGCTTGTACTGGTAGCTGCTGTGCAGAGGCAGGTAGCCAAGAGGGTCGGAGGGCGTGGGCGGCCCCGGGGGCGGCGTGGAGGCGGCGGCGCTGCTGCTGCTGCTCCGCCGGCTACTCCCGCCGCCGCCGCCGCCGCGCAGGTAAACCGGCTCCACCTTGAGCGGACGGTCGTACAGCAGCAGCTGGCGGGCCAGGGCGTGCTGGCGGGCCTCGCGTGCGTCCTGGGGGTGCCGAAAGTTCACGTAGGCCACGCGGCCCAGCTCAGGGGTGTGCGACAGGCGCAGGCTGATCTCGCCGAAGCGCTTGAACTGATGGAAGAGCCGGTCCTCGAGATGCTCGGCGGGCAGCGCGGGGCTCAGGCTGCTGATGAGCAGCGTCTTGTACTCGGGCGCTGCGGCTGACGAGCCGGGACCCGCGGACTCGGCCCCGGGCGGCGGCGGCGGCGGCAGCGGGGACGCCCGTGGCGACGAGCCTGAGGCGCCCGGATCCCCCGAGGCCTTCCCGCCGCGTCCCCCGCCGCCGGCGCCGGAGCCCGAGGAGCGGCCGCTGCTGGCACGGTGGTTCGCGTCCCCGGCACCACGTCCGTCACGATGTCCACCCCCGCCGCTCCCGCGGGGCTTGTCGCGGGCCCGCGTTGGAACGGGGTGCTTGGCGCCGCCCGAGGCCTTGTGCGCCGCCCGCCGCCCGCCCGCCTCCGCCTCCCGTTCGCGCTCCCGCGGCCGCTTGGCTGACGATGACGAGCCGCGCCCGTTCGGGCTGGAGTCTCGCTCGCTCTGTCTCTTCATGGCGCCGGCGCGGCGGGCGGGCGGGCGGCCCGCAGGCCCTTCACAGCGGCGGCGGCGGCAGCCGCGGCTGAGGAGGCAGCGCCCCCGGCGCCGCCATCTTGGACAAAAGGACTCGGCACCGCGGCGTCGGCGGGGCGGGGCAGGAGTGGCGCCCAGGAGCGGGGCTTTGCGTTATCAGGCTGCGCCGGCCTCCCACGTGACCGCGTAGCGGGCGGGGCAACAACTGCGCCGGGCGTACGTCATTAGCCCGCGCCATCCTGCACACCGGCAGCCTAGACGCGGGTCAATAGCGAACTCTGTCGCCACCACGCGGCCAGTACACCTCAGAACTTAACGGAGACGCGAGCCCTCGCGAGATGGTGATCTGGGCATCTCCCACTACCCAGATCCCAGCCTAGGCCTCCCTGGGCTCAGGGTGTCACGGTAGTCTTGCTGACTGCAGCGGAAGTGGGAACTAGCGTTGAAAGGCTGCTTTATTTAACCCCAATTTCGTCTTTCCGCGATACTGTCTCCTCCAATAGATGAATCAATCATTCTCCACCAAGGCACCTCGAGACTCGGGTCTGGGATGGCCAACTCTTGAGAACCTAAGCATGCAGCTGCCCTAGGCTCTGCATACATTTCCGACTCTACTACCTGCACCTGTGCCTAAAAGGTCATAAGAACCACACACATACAGAGATAGCGCAACCTTCTGGGGGTCAGGCACAGTAATCCCAAACCAACCTGCCCTTGAGTGGAATGGGAGGTTTCTTGGCACCACCCTTTGCTGTGTTTGATTCCGGGCTGTAAGGACTGGGCCATGGAGTCATGGGCGACAAGGCCTAACAAAACAGGCTGTAGTTTGTCAGGATTAGCCCTTGCTGATCAGTATCCTCCTATCCACCTGTAGGGCAGGACCTCTTCTGAGGTGAGGGAGGGGATCATGGTCAGGTACCCATGTTCATGGGGAAACCTTTAATTCCCCAAGGGCTGCTTGAGCCATCACCCAGCTTCAGCCACTGATGCAGCTCTTCCCCAAACAGAAAATGCCTGGAGCTGCAGGGGTAGGTCTTGAAGAACCACCTTTAACGCTGCACGACCTCCTGAAGTCAGCGTCCTGAAAGGACATTAACTCTTTCATAGATAACCCTAGTGGTTCACTCTAGAATAGTCAGCATTCTTTCTTTGTTCCCAAGTGCAATGTGGCCTGGAGAACACAGGAACATAGAGCTAGGGTGGTAAGCTCAGAAACTTTCATCTTAGAAGAATCTGGCTTCAGCAGTGGATTTTCCCAGCACCTTTCAGATGTTCAGGATACTGCTTGTCAGATCTTAACAAGTCCATCTAGCAAAGAGGAAAATCATAACCTGAGAAATAGCTCAACCTTCTTATTTCTTGGTCTTGAAGAGGAACAAAATGTAGGACTGCCACACTGGATCTAATGCCCTTTACAGACACTGGATTTAGGAGTTGCACAAATGATGTGAAGTGAGGTTTCACCAATTCCTTGGACAGCAAAATTTAGTCCTTTCATCAGGCAGCATCTGTAGGTCAAAGAGCATCCATAGAGCTACAGCTCATGCGGTTAAGTACAATCTCACAGGCAACAGCTGAAAAATAAGACTCTGTGGACATCTTGGGGACAAATCCATGAGACCTCAACTGGCATATATGTCTTGAACAACGGCAATCTTTTACTGCCTCTTTGTAAAGTCAAATCCTACAGATTTTGCAAAAACTGGAAGAGGTATCAGAGATTTGGGACTGACGCTAGACTAAAATCAGATAAGCAAGTAGATGGCTAGAATTGGTCAATATTTGGTGGAGGTAGCAAGGCCAAGAGTATCATTAGAAATAGGACTGTATTAAACAAAGTCAAGTCACTTAAGTCACATCACTGAAAACCACACTAGTCATAACCTCTGTTCTCCTAGCAGAGATCTACTGTAGCCCTTTCCACCTGCGTAGTCACTGAAGGCAGGGATCTAACCCCATCTTTTCCCTGGTTGCCCTCTAGTCCCTCATCATGCTCAGCCCCTTTGTCCTGTATTTCCAACACTGGTTGTTGAGGAACAAAAAAGAATATATCTGACATCTCTTTGTAAATTGGAAGCACAAACTGGGGGGAGTCTTCATTAGAAGTAAAATCCTACCATGGACAGCTAGAAATTTTCTTCCTTTAATAAAAAAATCCCAGACACACTTTGAAGTCCTAGAGTAAACCAGCAACAGAATAGAGCGAACACCCCCAAAGGGGCTCTGGAGAGCCAGCATCAAGAAAGCTCCAGGCTTCACACCTGACACCGTCAGGAGCCTGCCTAAAAAATAAATTACAAAAGGCTGTTTTGGGAAAGATACAGACGAATTGTTTTTTGTCCCCCTCCCCTCAGGTGCAGCAGCAATCAGGCAGATTACAAATCAGTCCGTGAACTGGCTGCCTTGGGGGCATATTTAGGCATCAGTTCATTAATCTTCCGAATGAAGTCAGACTTTTCCGCACAGCCTTTACACGATTCCCCCCAGTCGTCCAGGATCTTCTTTAGCTCTTTAACTCGAAGCTTCTTCAGATCCACTGTGCTCAGGTCAATTTGCTTGTCTAGAGAAGAGAGCAGGGAGAGTAGCCAGCTGGAAGGAGTGGTCACAGACTCCCAACATTCCCATGGCAGGTCATCCCTGCATAGCCAAACCATTCCTTAAAACAGGCACCTCTTGGTGGTAGGGGAGAGACATTTCCAGATACATGCAGGCATGTCAGTGGCCTCTGTCCCTAAGAGGGGGAAAGGATCTAGGGCCTCTTTATCAGGAAGGTTTCCCTCATAACAGTACATCTCAGATATGCAGATTACCAGGACAGATGGAGATCACACAGTCTTGTTATGTAAGGAGTGGGGGCTCCCATTCCCCCAAATGCATATTAAAGTCACTGTAGCGGCAGAACAGACTTACCTCCCAATTTCCAAACACAGGCCCTAGCCAGGTCCTTGAATTGGAAACTTAATCTCCATGACCACTTTGTGACCACAGGGACCCACTGCACTTGTCCCAGTACCACCCATAGAAGACCAGGCATCCCTGATACAAGTGGGCAAAGGTCCTGGAACCTCAAGGCACAACACATGGTGTTCACGTCTTACAAAAGAAACCAACTACTTCTGGTCCTAACTCTAGGAAAACTTGTACTGTGCTTTCCACCAGAGTCCTATTCAGCAAGAGATGCTGTGGTGCCCATGACTCAGGGACCTGACTCTTTGAACACTTTATATTATTGAGTGCTAGGCCTTCCAAAACTGCAGCCAGAAAAAGACTGATATACCCAAGCAGACCACATCCCTTCTCTGCTCAAAAACAAATGCTCCCAACCTTTATTAACTTGTTAAGTGCTCTGTGATCCAACCCTGACTTTCTTTCCTTCTGGCTATCTTTGCACTGCCTATTTCCTCTGAAATGCACTTCTATTACATTAGCTGTTGCTGGATTAACAGCCATCCTATAACTGACCTCATCTGCAACCATCTCCCCACCCCACCCCTCTCACACACACACTGAGCCACAGACCACACTCAAAATATTACTAAACATATCACAATGGCTCATCGACCACCCGACTCTCCCAGCTAGAAAATAAATTTAAGGTCTAAATCCAGAGGGTGCACAGTGCTTGTTTAGTAAGGTCTGGCCACACTCACCATACTTTAGCTCACAAATCTGGCTGTCTTTCTTCTTGAGCTTCTCACAGATTTTCTCCACAGGAATGTGATGTGACAGGGGCTTAGACACTTCATTGATGATCTTTGTGGCAGCATCATCTGTGGCCCCAATGTAGTAGCACTGCAACAAGAAAGGAAAATGGCCATCAGGAGATGCCACTCAAGAGACTTTCCCCCAAATTATATAAATATCTCAAACCATCACTCCTCTCTCCGGGGTCTTATTTTTTCATGTGCTGCCTTTATAGGCAATTATAGATCCGGTCATTATAAACCCTTTGCTCTGAATATATGCTTGGTTCCAGAACTGACTAAAGGTCAGCAGAGTTCATCTTTCTTTTTTTGTTTTGGATCACACCTGGCAGTGCTCGGGATCACTTAGTACTAGAGAGCAAACACCCAAGATTCCTGCATTTAAAGCCTGTGTGTGCTCCAGCACTTTGGGTCAAGGTTTGTACCTTCATTTATCTGTTATGGTTTTTGGGTCACACTCAGGGGTGCTCGGGGGTTACTCCTGGCGATATTTGGTGCCAAGTTCATGTACCCTACCTGAAAAGCCTATGCTCCAGCTTGTTGAGCTATCTCTCTAGCCCTAAGTTCAAACCTTTTTTTTTTAAAAAAAAAAAAAAGAGTACTGCTATTTATTCAGCCATTGATTTAGCTGATTAAGTTCAAACCTTTAAGCAGAGATACAAGCTAGAAACTGCAAGGAAAACTAAGTTACAAAACTATTGATTCAATAGGGCTCTTGTCCTTAAATTGGCTCTACCACCTTTTCTACACAATTATCTTTTCGGCCTCACACATACTGAGCTCTTTCTAGCTGCTGTGGACTAACACTAGTAGTTCCCTCTGCTTGGGGAGCTTTTCTCCAAGCACATAGATTGGTTGCTGTCTGAATCAACAATCTTTGTAGTCCCTTTTCTTCATGCCAACACATTTTTGTCCAATTATTATTTATTTCCTCTAGTATTTCCAGTTCCCAGCATACAGCAGGTGTTTTATCAAGTCTTGTTAGTATAAAAGACAATCCCAACTGCAGGGATTCGGTCCCGCATAGTTCACAGAACAGCTGGCCTGCTGAATAGAGACAAGTGGGCAGGGTCACTGGCTACTTACTCACCAACCGATTCTCTTTGCTTCTTGCATCTCGGCAGAATTTTATTAGCTCTTTTTCAATTGAGGCTGGTGAGAATGTGACATCTCTATCTTTGAGGTCCTGGTAAAATCTTCCCAGATAAGAAATGCAAACTGAAAAAAAGAAGGAAGGGACATGCTCAGCAAATCAAGTTGCATCCAATCCACCAAGGCACTCCACTAGCAATTTTAACAGACACGAAGAGGTGAGTTTCTCCATCACCCATTTTTCTCAGGCAGACAGTACTCCAAGATGCTGGTGTCCCCTCTTACACCCGGACATGCAGGAACAAACATCACCCAATGACCCACAACACGGCTGGTCCCTGCTCTTTCTATAAAGTTTAAGACGAAAATGAACACGTGTCCTTGAGATAGACTCTCTGTGACCTCAGAAACGGTCAAACTGGAGACCGAGGAGAAAAACGACAAAAATGCCGCTCTTTTGCAAATACAACATCAGACCCTGGGGTGTGGCTTCGAAAACCCTACCAGACCGGGCGCGGTGCCCAAGGCCGTCCCGTCCCGAAACAGGACAGGGCCACTCTAGAGACTGATTAAAAGGGGGAGAGGACTCAAATCTCCGACGTTGTCTCAGTTTTCGGCCAAGTTTTCAGCGCCTTTCAGTTCCGACGTTGTCCCCTTGGACCAATGTTTTCATGGCCCGGCACCTGCCCCTCCTCCGGTCCGCCGCCGCCCCCACCCGCTCCAATCCGAGTCTCTCCGACACTCCGTGTTTAGGTCGGCTTCAGCGCCCCCGCCAGGCCGGCCTCCACACCCGGCCCCCAGCCCCGCCGCACCTTCGCAGTCGCCTGGCCGAAGCGCCCGGCTGCCCGGCAGCACGCTCAGAGCCAGCGCCACCGCTAGCCCGTGCGTAGCCAACATCCTCCTCCTCCTCCGCCGCCGCCGCCGCCCGACTGAACCGCGCCTGCCGACTCGCTCTGCCTCCAGATCTCGGCTGCGCGCCGTAGCTTCCCATTGGCGGGAGGCCCCAGAGCCCACCCATTCACCTCACATTCATTGGTCCACGCTCCTCGGAGCCCAGACGGGCGGCTCCACGCTGCCCATTCCTATTGGCTGGTGATGTTGCCCGCCCACGGCCCTAGACAGTTGTCGGCAGCTGATTGAGCCTGGGCGATCTGCAGGAAGCGGCTGCGGAGGCGGAGGAAGCGGCAAAGGAGGCCATCTTGGGTAGGGGCAACGGGTTTGGCCGGGGTCGCGCGCCGGGGGTTGAAGTGAGCCTCGGCTTGTACCCCGCGCCCGCCGAGTTGTTCGGCGCCCCGCTTGCCCTGGGCCACACGCCGCCCGGAAAGCTCTGTGAACTTCGCCAAGGCCCCTAATTTGTGGAGTAGGTCAGAGGTGCTGGGGTCTACCGCGAGCGAACGGGACTGCCAGGGCTCTGGAGAGCCTCCCGCTTTGACCCGTTTAGAAGTGTCAAGAACCCCACCAGACTGCTGGGGCCAGTCTTCGGGGAACCGCCACGAGCCCGGCCGACCGCGTCCGAGCCTACCCCTCTGCAGGGATGCCCGCCTGCTTGTCCCCCAGGTGTGGGACCCCTCCGGTCACGGGCGACCCGCTGTGTAGACGCAGCCCGGGCTGGATGCGAGGAGCGCGGCCAGGATCTGGGTGCCCTGGATTTGGGGGGATCAGTTTTACGGCATCACGGTGGCAGGTGGAGGTTAGGTAGTTTGTGCCCGAGTCGTGGCAGCGTTGCCCTGTGTCTCACCAGCAACTTCGGAAACCCGGCCGAGGTGGCTGGCCCCGTCCCCCGCCTGCTTCCCAACTCAGCGCCCTGGGCGCCTCCCAAGAAAAGTGACCCTCGAGTCAGGGCACGGCGCGGCGTTTCCTCCTGCCAGGGCTTCGGGGGACCGACGGGCTCTGCGGCGCTATGCTCGCTCGGGGCAGAAAGATTTCCTGGGGACCTCAACGAGCTTGGGCACAGCGCCCCGTTGGGGAGGGTGCCCGCGCCGGTCCCGCCAGTGAATTGAATGGGTCGGTATCTGGTATTCATCTTTAATTCACATCACAGCAGTCAAGGGGGTGGGGTAAGGGGAAAATCAAGTGGCAGATATTTACATCTAAAATTCACATTACTTGTTGGGTTTAGAACATGCTACCACAATATATACAGTAAAATACCTCTTGGTACAAATTTTTTTCTTTCAACTTTGCTTTCTGGCACAGGTAAGATCAATTTAAAATCACCTTTTTTAAAAACATAAATACACACAAAAGATGGTTAGAAGTTTTCTTATTTTAAATAAGCACAGAATGCCAGAGGTTAAAAACACATTTATATAGGGCTGAATACCAATTGGACATCACACTCTATACATTTTTTTTGCTCAAATTCCTGTACAAATACACAGCATTCAAATAGATATTTACAAAGAAGTTTGAAAGAATGAAAATCATTATTTCACAATCTTCAGAGGATTCTTATCTCTGGCCTCCTACTGCCCCTCAGATTGGCCGATTCTCCAATAAAAGGGGTTTTAGAACATGTCCAATATGTCCTTTTCACCCAGTTAGGAAAAATGAAGGGAAAACAAAGTGTCACCTTGCATGAAACAAGGCCAGATAAACTCACAGTCCCCTCCATATGCTACCATGTGAAGAAGGTAGACATTTTTATGTGATGACTGCCTTGTCTGGGAATGGAGATTCAAAAGTGCACTAAAATATAAAGATGCCTTCCCATGTAACATACAAAGCTAGCCATAACCCTCAAACACCTCCAACACCCGATGGTCCAAGCCTGCCTCTAAGTAAGGGGGGTTGGGGGCTGGGGTGCTGCCAGCACTGACCCAACTCTGCCTGGAGTCATCCTCACAGCATTAGAAAGGACCCTCACTGGTGGGGGGGAAAAAAAAAAGAAAGAAAACCCAGCTCTCCTGAATGTAATGTAGCTATCTATTTTTCCTGATGTTCACTCAGTGGCATTCCTATTAATAAGCTGGCATCTGCTCACAAGACAGAAATACCATTTGGAAAGAGGGTCTCTGGGGAAGGGATGAGGTGGGGTGCTGGCCATGCAGGAACTAGGGGAGAGCACACTAATTCAACAAGAAAGAAAAAAATACTTTTCTAGATTTTGTTTTTCTTTTAAAGTAACTTAGAAGCACCCTGGTGTAATACTATTGCCACTTCTACTCAACTCGCTCCACCCCAATAATGAACCAAGAGGAAAATCAGTGCCCTGATCAAAATTTCCTATAAAGACCACTGCACGTTGCCTAACAGACTGCTTTACCTAACAGGAGGCTGGAGAGTGTCCTCCTGCCTGCCTGAACCCTGAGTGGTAGTCCCGGTGGGCCTGCAGTGGAGCCCTGCATTTTCTTGCTCTCTTGAGAGAGGGTAATTCCACTTATTTAACACTCTGCTTCCAAAAGGAGGCGCTCTCTCCCTTGTCTTTAGCTTGCTGAGCCTGACCACATCCTCAAGGTTTGGAAGCCTGGCTGGGCAGCCAAACCCTCTGCTAGGAGGTAGTGCTGAAAATCCCTGATTTGGGAGCTGGATGACCGGCATTCTGGCCACCTCTGATTTAGCTCAGGATTTTCGGTCCCTGCCAAACCCCAGCATCATTACTATGACCATGCTTCACTCACCTCATATCCTCCCAGGACCTAAGGAGGAAGTAGCTGGGCCATCCTGGCTCCACATTCCCCTAACATTAGATGGTAGAGATAACTTCTATGGATCTAAGTGGGCTCTGCTGGGCATGAGGCATATAAAAAATGCTGAAGGAAGCAAGTGGTTAGAAATAAAAGTGATGGAGAAAAATCCAAGGTAGAGTAGGAGGCAGGGCTGGCCCACAGAAGCCTCTGTGCCCTGGATATACACTGACACCAGGTCACATGCCTGCACGGCAGGTTGGCTTAACCAGCCCTTTGTTCGCACATTCCTGAATGGAAGAGTGAACAGGTGGGCAAGCATTTGTGCAAAACAGCTTGTAGTCCCCTTGTCCACCTGTGACATGTAGTCCACGTTCTTGCAATCCCTGAATAACAACCATGAGCTCTTCTGTTCACACAGTAAAGGAAGAGGTCCTTAGTGCAATTCCCATTCTTCTGTGCATCTTTACCCTGGAGGGAGGACCTGAGCTCCTATCGCCTGGCCCTGCTAAGCTGCAAAGCAATTCTGTCTGTGCAATATCTCCATATAGCTCCAGTTCCATGTGCCTGGAACTGCAGGAGGAAGAAAGCATCTACTGCACAAAGAAAAGAAATACTCAGAAGTGAAATGTAGAAAATGAAATAAAAAGAGAAGCTACAAGCCTTCATGCTGCTGCAGCCTCTATATGGCAACACGAGTTCACGGCAGTAGAACATAGACTGGGATGGTTCTCTCCTGAGTGCCAGGCCTCTCTGGTTCCCTGGGTAGGGGTGTGGAACTTGGTTTTCAGACCTGGAGTGCTGGGGGAAGCTGCTTACTGTCTTAGCTGCCTCTCTGTCCCTCACTGTTCCCCTCGGCCATGCTCCCAGGCCATGCGAGCCTGCTCCTCCTTGATACTACCAGGAGGCAGCGAGGCCTTGCGGTGCAGACCCCGAGGCCTATCAGCCTCCTCACGCAGCAGCACACCCTCATCGTGCTCCAGGACTGGCAGGCGGGGGTGGTAGGGCTTGGGTGGCAGCGCAGGTGGGTCCAGCGGGTCCTGAGGGATGACACATCCTGGGGCCGAGTGGCTTCGGCATGGTTGGGCCTTGATGGAATCCAGGACGGCAGACTCAGAGAGACTGTAGTGGACAGGGAGGTAGGGTGGCTCAAGATCCTCATCAGCATTCCAGGCCTGGCTTGGCATGGAGTCCATGGTATCGGTGCGAGGTGGGGCTTCTGAGGAGTGCCCAAAGTTACTCTCACTCAAGGAAGACACGCCGCTGCTGGCACTGCCGGACAGTGTAGAGTTACTGCCATCCAGGCCTGACTGGGGGCTCGTGGGGGAAGCTGGGATAGGGTGAAGAGGAGACTGCAAAACAAAGGTGGTGGTCATGTTAGCCTTCCTCTCTCCAGAAAGGCTAACTGGCCCACCATCCGAAGAGAAGACTGAGAGTCTGCTTATTATGACCTTTAAAATAATTCATCAACAGCAAGTTTTTTGTTTATTTAGCAACCTGCCCCCCCCCCCCCCCGCCCTCAGCAAGCCAATGGAACCCCAGAGTCACCGACATTCCTCTGGGCCAAAAAAATTGCCATTCCTTGTTCTGCTGGGCATCTGTGCCCTGCGGAGGCCAGGTTTTATTCAGGCTAGTGGCTGTGGCTCTGGGGAACGGATAGATGGGTTGTGGTCATATGGGGAACAGACATGGGCTATATAAATGCATTCTGCTCCTAAATCTGTGATTTCTAGTTTCTAGTTTGCAGAAAAATGGAATCAATGGGTTTTTCACAAAGCTTTGACGCCTGATGCTTCTTGCTTTGACTGGACTCTCAAGTGCTCTATGATCCAGCACAGGTGTTTACACCTCATTAACAGTGGTGTGTTGGGACCTTGTGATGTTGTTGGCAAAGAGTACCCTCACTTCTAACTTACTGCCCACTTTTTTCTGCATACCCTGTGTTGCTGTATCCAGGCCCCTCTAATCTCCCTGCCCCCACCACGTTTGTTATAGGACATGTTTTGGCCATCTGCTGCTGTCAGCCAATTTTTGTCAGGTTGGGCTCTTGGGATAGCGAGAAAGCTTGGGCTCTTTATGTAGGCACTAGGGGTGATTCTAGAGCAGATGAGATGATTCACCTCACAGCTCAGTGCTTCAGTACATTACCTTACGTAGGGTCCGGGCAGGGAGGGCCGGGGGGTTGTCACCCAGGGGGTGGTGGAAGGCATCAAAGTGTAGGGAGTAATGACCTGCAAAGGGAACAGAACCAGAGTCTCAACCGGGGCCTTTCTTGGGCTGCATGCCACACATCTTGCTGGGCCAACTGAGAAGACGTGGGAGGAGTCTTGGGGACCCCTCAGCTTTCAAGGCATAGAAAAGCCACTTCTTGCTGTAGTGTTCCAGAACACAGGCTGCTGGAGTAGAAGATACCCATTCCACACAGCAAGTCAAGAAGGCTATGTACATCCGAGCTCTTGGGAAAGCAGGCCGCAGGCAGCAGTAACTCCGGTGCTCTGCTAGGCAGTAACAGGATAGTGATGATAGGGTCAGCAGGGTCAGTTTCATTGTCTTCAGCCTCGCTGGTTGGGAAGGCCTCACTGAGTATGTCTGCTGTACTTAGAAATATCACTGACTCCATAGCCCAGGAGGGTCCTTCCTGTGGTCCGATGGTTTATCCTTGGCTGAGTCCATCTGAAGAATAGCTCATCTTAGCCTAGCCTAGCTTTTGCCCCTGATCAGAGTCTGAGGTCAAGGACTAACTGGGGGACCTGTAAGAGGTCTTACCATGCAGAAGGCTTTGGTGAGGCACTGGGGAAGGAGCCTGGACAGGTAGGGCTGGCCTCTGGGGTTCTGCTATGCAGTTTCCAGCTGCTGCAGGCTTCTGGTACCATTGAAGGGTAGAGGCAGCAAGAAGGGGTTTACTTCCTGAGCCTACTCTGGGAGAAGCCTGTCTTACAATTCATGACTTCCCCAGCAATAGGGAGCAATATGCCAGCACCTGGGAATGATGGCCAAACAAAACACCAGCCCAGAGAGAAGTGTGGCTTAATTGGCTGAAGCCACTTAAAAGGATTGACAGCAGAGTGAGTTGATAACTGGAGTGCTCTCAGGATGAGGCAAGCTGAGGATCAATGCAGCAAGGAGGAACTTGTAGCCTCCAGGATTTGCCAGGAGGAAAAGATAACAAAGAAAGGGAGAAGAGAAGAAAGGAACAAGCTGGTGAAACAACAGAGCGTGAGTGGTGTGCTGAAGGAGAGGGGGAAAGCGAGGGTGGGGGACAGTGAGAGAGAGTGAGCGGGGCAAAGAGTTTTTCTTAAATAAGGAATGCTTCATGAATTTGTGTAATCTTTGTGCAGGGACCACGCTAATCTCTGTATTGTTCTCATTTCCATATATGTGCTGCTGAAGCAAGCACACTCCTCCCACCACCCTTTTATTTCTTTTGGGGGCAGGGGGGCATACCTGGTGGTGTCCAGGGGTTACTCCTGGCTCTGCACTCATGAATTATTCCTGGAGGTGCTTGGGGGATGATATGAAATACTGGGGATTGAACTTGGGTGGGCTACATTAAAAGCAAGTGCCCTACCCACTTGTACTATCATTCTGGTCACAGAGTTTCTTATCAAAGAGTCAGGATTACTTTACTGACAGCCTGGTGGGAAAAGCAAGGAGCTTTTCAATTATCTCTGAGAGCTGATGCATGGCCAGGGAAGACGCAAAAGCTGGTCCCCCACATTGGCCCGAGCTTTGTCTATTTGCTTTTGTGCCTACTGGCTGGTGTAGGATGCCCAGGGTTTTTCTATGCAAGCATTCATATTTACTATTTCAGCTGAATTAAAGAGCATAAAGCTCACGTGTGGCCAATGTCTAGCTGAATCTACTGCTTTCTGAGATGAGGAAGATCTGCGGAGGGACTAGGTACTTTTGGGCACCTAGACAGGCCCAGATCTTGACACCAATGCCATGGAGGCAGGGCAGAGTTGGCCCTAGACACAGAAACAGAGTGATCCCCTATGTGAAAGAAGGAGTCCTCAGTCACAGCGAATGACTAAGAAAGAGGGGAGAAGTGGAGACTAACTGGCACTAAGTGCTATTCTGTAGGAACAATGGGATGCATGGTTCCTGAGAGTCAAAAGTCAAATCTTCCTGAGAAATACTCCCTAGGCAAGCACAATCTCCCTTTTAGGTTGTCAGAAGCAAGAGATCAGCCCTTCTTACAGAGTCCTGACCATAAGCTTTGTTCTGGGGCAGACATAGGTAAAGTGAGTCTGAGGAGGCTGGGGTTTGGGTTCCTCCAGGTGCAGGCACTACACAGGGAATGTCAGAGTCTAACTGGAACTGTGAAAGCATCTCATTTGGAGTTTAGTCTTCAACGAGGGTAAGGTGAGAAGCTGGGCCTTGTGGTGATCCAGAAATAAAGGTGTACTTTCATTCTCTTCCTCCCCATTTACTTGGAAAGAGCATGTGCTTGTAGCCGAGCACAGGGTATGACTGCTATCTAAATGGCCTAATTTCTCAGAATTGCTTAATCTTGTGAGATGGTTGATGGTTGGTAGCAAGAAGGAAGGAATGAAAATGATCGGGTAGGCAGGCTGAGTTGTCACCTGAAGGAAAGGATTCTGAATCTGAAGAACAGCAAGTGCACTCCACCAGCAAGTCATCTCAGCGGTCAAGTCACCCTCTAAAATAGCCCCCCCCCCCCGCTTTTTTCTTTTTGGGTCACACCTAGTGATGCTCAGTGTTACTTCTGATTCTGCATCCAGGAATTGTTTCTGGCAGTGCTCGGGGGACCATATGGGATGCCAGGAATCGAACATAGATTGGCCACATGCAAGGCAAACACCCTACCTGCTGTACTATTGCTCTGGCCCCAATAGGCCTTCTTACCCAGGCTCTTCTAAGATGCAGGATGAGCTTCCCAGTCTTCAGCATTGAAGATCTTTCTCCTTCAAAAGTTATGTCTCCAGAAAAAGCCAGTAAGTCAGAGGGAAATCAGCTTGGAGACAGGACTGGGTAGCTCCCTTAGAAGGTTTCTGACAGTTCAAGATCTTATATACATGTGGAGGCCCTGAGAAAATTGTCAGGTTTCCAAAGTCCACTTATGTGGTCCAAAGGAACTTGTAGGCAGTTAGATTATGGGGGGGGGGGGGGGGAGAAAATAGACAAGCAATGGTTTATAAAAGGGTGCTTGCCTATGCTACAACTGAAACAGACATCAAGTTCACCCATACCTGAGTTGGTGAATAATGAGGCTGGTTAACCTTTGTTATTAAACACAAGTGCTAGAGGGGAATAGAAGACAGGATGATTCATCCAAGAAGAAAGGTAATCCCCACCATATCCCAATTATTTTTCTCTCTCTGTGTTAAGAATGGTTTGACAGTGGTCTGTGATCCCTAGTGCAGTTCATAGTGCTGAGGGCAGGCTTGCTTGTTTGGTCTGGGTGTCACTTCCTGGTAAAGAGAGATCCCTACGTACATATGAGAAGTGGGTCCTCCTGGGACTCAGGATCCTAATGATGAGAGAATGGTGATACGTATAGTCCTTGCTGTGCGGGGTCCACGTAAAGAGTTGGGAATGTATTACTTTGACCAATGTATTCTCACTAGGCAAATAACAAATTTGCTGCCCACCAAGTATTGCGACTGTGGTGTAGACTTGCTTACTCTAGGCTATCTCTATTCTCAGACAAACCTCTTTTCTTTCCAGACTTGGAGATGAGTGTGGAGTGTGTCCAGATATTTGCTGCAGCCTGTATGAGGTCTGAAATTCTCTGTCCAGTGGGTGTAGGGTTCTGTGCCGTCCACCATCAGCAATCTGAGCTCTAAGCCTGTTTGTGCTCTTAGCTAAATTCTGAGATTATTCCATCTCTAGTGAAGAAAGTCACTGCAAATTCTGGCTATTGAATATCAAATGGCTCTGTTTAAGGTCACAAGTGCAGGGGTCCAGCTGAGTAGCATGTTTGGGAATGTGCAGACTTGAGTCAAGAAGGCATCTTCAGCCAGAGTGTCCATGTTCTGTGTGGTTGAGTGCTTGGCACCAATGCCCACCAGGCACTGGAAGTAATCGTATTTGACCTCCTTCAAGAGGACAAGGAGCTCTGTCCTCTGTGAGCAGCAAGGGAGGAACAATACACTGTCAGGAAAGTTTAAAGCACTTGGTAGGGAGGTGCAATCTCAACCCGATGACAACTCTGGAGAATAGGTTCTGATGAATCAGGGTATATTACTGGGGAATGAGTGTGCCCTTAATATCAAAAGATTGAGGGGGCAGAGGTGCTGCTTTGGGTCAGGTTATCTGGGACAGGTAAGCTTAGCACAGTCTTCATATAGATAATTCTGTGTATTAAAATTAACTCTGGTGTCCATGCCAGAGCTTCAGCTCAGGTCAAATAGATCCAACCGCGGTTGTTCCATTAGCTTTCAGGTGTAGAACACAGGGTAAAACTCAATGACTAAATAGCCTCTGTTTGATAGTCTTGCAATGGGATTAATCCTGCCAGCATCTGCTGGCCAGAATGGCTAGGGGAAGTGGACTTCTCCAGAGTACCCAAAGCTTCCTTTGGAGAGGGACATCTCTGGAAAATTCACTTTTCCCTTGCCCTTGTCTGTATCCCCCACCCTCGCCTCTGTCCCCATTCTTCTTTGGGTTGCTTGGTCACAGGCTGTTTTGATATCCAGTAGAGATTCCCTGGAAGAAACAAAAGGGCTCACAAGGCCTCCTGAGTTCTGGAACTAGTGGGACCCAAGGGAGTGGTCGCCCACAGTTTGTCCACAGTAGCCTGAGTTTTCATAAAGGTGGTCTTGAGGAAGGTAGTGAGTGGAATCTCTATGAAACCTCTATGGATTCTGGGAAGGAAGAACTATCAGGACCCTGTTAGGACAAGCTAACAGGACCCAAACCATAGCATCAAGCCAGGCTTGAATAAAACACAGTGCTCAGGAATTCATCAGGACTCTGAATTGAAATTCAGGCCTAAAATGTTGAAGTGTGGCTTAGCTTTGGCCAGTGGTGCTCACAGAAAAGATTTAGATGCTCAGGATTGGGATAGACAAGGAAGAGGCCACTTGGAGTGGGGAAACAATACCTTTTTCAGCCAAAGACAGATTGGGATCACTGCAGGGTTTGCAGGTTCCAACCACTTGCTGGAACAGAGCCCGCTGGAAATTTGGCATCTGAGGGAAGGAAAAAAAACATCAAAGAGGGGAATAACAACTAGTTATACCCGAGGGACAGTGTAATGAATTACAGGAGTCAGGACATGCCAAGGTAAGACAGAGAGAAATCAAAACAGTGGTACATCCCGTGCCTGTGATGTGCTGGGAATTTCAGCAGTGTTTGGCTGTGAGTGCTGCCAATGTTTAAGGTGCTACCCTACAGGCTATGGCTGGGCTCCAGGCTATCTTTTGCACAGCCAAAGGCATCAGAGATTACGGACTGTATCTGATACTACTAGGAATCCCATCAACATAAAGGACTTAGAACTGCCTTTCACACAAGAGCAATGGGGCTTAACTTTCTGGAGATGATCCCCACAGTCCCATGTTAGCACTGAGGTTAGAGAAAGGGCATCCTGGAGCACACCATCCTCAGTCTATCTAGGGAGGTGGTGCTGAGAAAATCATGGCACTCTGGGACTAGGCAGTGGCTGCATGGAGGTCATTTGCATAGAAGGGCAACACAGACTGAACAGAGGAAGAAATTAATCCCTATAGCTTTTGTGCATGTCTCCTAGGTAGGGTATTTGAAAAGCAAATGGTTTAGAGAAGTGCCAGCAAGTAGTGCTGTAGGTGCATGGTTAAGAGGCAGAGTTTACCCCAATGAAGATGTCCTTCACACACACAGGGAGGAAGGTCAACTGGAACCATGCTCACCTCTGTCTTCTTGGCACAGGAAAAAATCAATTGCACCCGCTGCACTGGAGATGAATGCAGGAGGCCAGCCAAAAGGACAGACAATCATACCACAATGGTGGTTCTAATCCCATTGCCACTGTACCAGAGCTTCACTCTGTCCAGATTTCTGGTCCCCAGACTCACTGTAGTCCCCATCCAGGAGCCCAGCAGCTTTCTGAGGATCTTATGACAATAAGGCAGGCATATAGGATGACATAGAAAGCTTAGAAAATGCAATGAGGCCAACACACTGCTCTGCTGCACACAGCTCTATTACCTGTCCATTCTCCAGGATGGCTGTTGGGTACATGGCGCTGCTTGGGCGGTCTCGGTGTGTGGGCAACAGCAACATCATTTCTCGGGTGTGGCGATACTTATCTGGCAGAGAGGGAGAGCCTGTAACCAAGTGAGAACAATCACGCACAGATGACAAGCCACAGATGGAGGGCCCAGTGGGCAAGCATATTTAGGGCCAGGGAACCAGGATAGGTTCCCCCTGGTAGTTGGGGTGAGAATGAGCTCAGCAAGCACAGAAGGAATGAAGCAGAGCCTGGTGATTAGATGGTAGTGGAGCTTCACTTAGCATCTCAGCTGAGACAGACACACTGCAGGCCGGGGCAATGTCCGTCCACTGATAAAGTCCCCACCATGCTCAGATCCAGAATGTAAGAACAGTTGAGAACTGGAGCTGGCCCCTAGGGACCTTCTGCACCCAGCACTCTCAGAAGATGGGTGTAGCTTGGATGCTAGGGTTTGTCTCAGGCATGGGTACAGGCCAGCTTGTAATGGAGCCATCACACAGAAACAGAGACACTCACAGAACATAGCACAGTTCTGATCTGACACACGTGTCTTCACACACTTACCGTCTCTAGGTATCATTGGCCCTATTCTCAGCTGGCTCGCATCTACCTATTCCCTGAGGGTCCTTCCTCCCAGATTCCAAGCTCTGGGTTCCTGGCCTCTGCCTTCTTGGCCTCCCCACTACAGCTCTGTAGTCAGGGTATCTGGGGCCAGGCCTCTGCACCCAGGTGGTTCTCCAGGGCTTCTTACTCTGAGACTCAGTCTTAAGGGACCACAGAGCTTATCTGGGAGTGGTGGGGCTCTCAGTGAGGCTCCTGAGTTGACTTGGTTCATGTTCCTCTAAAATCTCTGTGGTTATTTCCTCGGGCTTGAGTGGCTTTCATAAAGGTCAGACCATGTAAGATGGGATATGGCCCAGTTTCTATCAATGCAGACAACAGTGACAGGTTTAGGAACCTAGAGGCTGGTGATCCTAAACTGAACCTTCCGCCGAGGTAGAATAACTTGCAGTGTTCCTGGGAAATGGGTAATCTGAAAGACTCTCCAAATATGTGTCCTTCACTGTTCCAGAGAATAGAATACCCATGAGAAACTAATGGGGTCTTCTGGATCCCTCATAGTGGTGGGTTACCTTAACCCCACTGCCCCTAGCTGTCTACTGGCAGCCTTTAGCTGGTTCGAGTTGTTGAACCCCTCTGTGTAATGTTCTCCTAGTGAAGCTCGAGGGTTGAGAATCAGCCCATGTGCTCTGTCAGTCTCTGCAACTCTAGAGGCTCTGTGCCGGTGACCCAGGATCTTGGGGCATTCATTTAAATGTGCATTTATATGCCCTGCCAAAACACATCTGAAAGGATCTTCAACAATATATCCTTAGGAATCCTTGAAAATTTTCTCTTGTACTCATTTTAGTCCAAGAAGATAAGCTTTAAATATTTATGTAACAAAAATCAGTTATAAAATTCCTAGTAATGACATTTACTTAACTTTCTCTATTATTGATGTGAGTGATGCTATTTGTAAAACTTCGGGGATGATGTTAAGACTCCATCTTAAAAATATCTTTCATTGGAGGCTGGAGCAATAGCACAGCGGGTAGGGCGTTTGCCTTGCATGCAGCCGACCTAGGTTCAATTCCCAGCATCCCATATGGTCCCCCGAGCACCTCCAGGAGTAATTCCTGAGTGCATGAAGCAGGAGTAACTCCTGTGCATCACCAGGTGTGACCCAAAAAGCAAAAAAAAAAAATCTTTCATTGGTAAGAGGATAAGGCTTCCCCCCACCCACCCCAAAGCAGGGCCTGAGCAATAGTATAATGGGTATTTGCCTTGTATAGAGTCAACCTGGGTTCGATCTCTGGCACTCCATATGGTCCCCCTAGCACTGTCAGGAGTAATTTCTGAGTGTACAGCCAGGAATAACCCCTGAGCATCGTATGGCCAAACAACCACATTTAAAAAAAAATTCTGGATTGCAACCATTTAAAAAAAACCTGATTTTAGTGTTTTCTTCTAGAATTTATGTTCTGAAGCTTACCTTACATAAAGGCTGTGTAAAGAAAAAAGAAAAAGTGCTTTTAATTCCATTAACTTCTATAGTAGGATAGAACTAAGAAACTCAATGATCCGTTCCAGTAAGAAACTCAATGCTCCTTATGCCCTACCGGCCACAGCTCTGGACAGTGCTATCCTCCCCTTAGTATGTACAGAAAAAGATACAAACCCTATTACATCAACTCACACCAAACTCTTATCTGATTAAAATTCCATACTTGGTATATGGTTGAACATGGTATAATATTGACTTGTGTAGGCTGGCCATGATCCCTGACCTCACTCACAGCCTGGCTCATGAGGTCAATCACCAATATTCACATTCAATATCCTGATGTATCTTGGGTGGGTAGAATGGGAGGATGGCAGCCAGAGGTCAAAGGAATTTTCTGAGTATTTGTGTCCATGTTATACAGTGACTTGCTATCACCTAATTTTCCAACTATACCATCTCACTTTCTTCTCAGTGCCAGCCAATCCCAAGGTAAGGGAGAGCTATAAATACTTTTCATAAAAACGTTTATATACCACAAGGGCTTCAGGACCACAAATCTTCTGAACTACTTGAGCTTGAATTCTGGTAAACCCCAGGGAAGCTATATCCAAGCATGGTTGAGTTATTTGAAGATGATCAATAATGAAAGTCATTTTCTTAGCCTCACCAGAAGAAGCACCTAAAATGCCTTGTTAGCATTGCCTTCCCCTACTGGGTACTGTAAGGAAGGCCACTTCTCTCCTGCCATCCCTGGAGATGAAGAAAGTGACTCCAGTGCAGAGGACTCTCCTGAATAATTCTCAAAAAAAAAAAAAAAGCCTTCTCTTTATTCTAACACCAGACCTAAACAGTAGAGTGAGCCACTCCCTTCCTTCCATGCCCATACTGCATCTACTGCATTTGTCTGAAAATACTGCTCTTCTTCATGACAGTGAGTATCAATCTTCCTTTTTAAATCCTAATACTATGCTTGTTATATACATGTGGGGTCACTTTTTTTTTTTTTTTTGCCCGATGGGCCTTCGTGACATCATAACCTAAAATAGACTTTTCTGTTTTCTCTTGATTATGTCCTTAGTACCATACCCTGCTCTGGACCAATTTCATTTACTTGTTATATGTATTATCTACTCCAGAAAGGGAATAGGGCTGAGTAGGAAAGGATTAATTTCAGTTTCTCTGTATGGTATGATGGAATTAGATTATTATGATTTCTCATTTCTAAAGATGACAATCACCAATGCCTTCCCTCCCAGGATGTGTATGCCACACATTATGTCATGAAATAGAATTATATCCCCCCAGCCTGAAATCTGGTTGGATGTAGTTCCTTGAATAGCCAGCAGAATGTGGTAGATCGACATTCTAAAGACTTCCAAGGCTGGGTAGTAAGAAGCCCTGCAATTCTGCCTGATTCTCTTGGGATGGTTGCTTTAGGAAGAATCAGCAGCATGCTATGAGAAGCCCAGGCCACACAGAAAGGTCACAGGTAGAGACTCTGGTTGACAGTTCTGCCAGAGCTCTGAGCTTCAGTAACTATCAACTAGACGTCTCATGAGTCTCATATTGTATATTCAACCTAAATGAATCTTTTGATGATTCTAACTCCAGGTGGTATCTGACTGGAAGTCATAGGACAATGCAAATGTGCCCTGTTAAACTACAGAAAAGTGAGAAATGTAAAGAAATTGTTCCAATTATTTCAAAAAATTAAGTTTAGAGACTGGATTCTTATGCAGTAATAGATAATCAAGTCATCTGAAATAAGAAGGAACTAGTTCCAAAAAGAAAGTAGTTTTTCTCTATTCAACTCTGCTAGTGTACGAATCATACAGATTCCTCCCTAAACATTTCGAAAAGGCATCATGAGTGGTCACATCAGATGGTTAGTGGGAAGGACATGACTGGACGGCCGACCTGTGTGGTCCCTGACCTTGTGTTCTTTTCAGGGCATTAAGGATTAGAAAGAGCCTAGAAGTGTCTGGGAAATGTCAGGGTAGATTTGAGTTACCATGTCCATCCTTTGCTGTCCTATAGATATATTTTTGAAACCAACAACCACGGTTCAAAGGTCTGCTTTTAGCAAGAATATGCAGATAAAGACTTAGATATGGCTGAGTATATCTTAGAGTTCAAGCTAAGAAAACAATAAAAATACAAGAGATTACAGAATCTGTTCCCTACAGCTCCATTCATCTGCTTATGTGGCTAACTTTTCTGTTTCCTTTCTTTTCACTACTAAAGTTATAGTTCAGAGTACCTTTTTGGGGGATGGGGGTGAGCTAGGACCATACCAGGTAGTGCTAAGAGTAGACTAACAGTTCTATGCTTATCAGTGGCCCCTGGCAATGCTCCAGGGACCATATGTGGTGCTGGCGAAGGAATCTGGGTAGGCTGAATGCAGGACAAGTACCTTAACCCCTGTGCAATCTTTTTGGCCCTCAGTGTGCTTGCTTTATAATATAAATCACTCTGCTTTTTAAAAAAAATTTTTTTTTGCAGTTTTCGCATATCTAAAAATCTTCAACATATTCCTAATTGGTAGTTAATTAGTCATCTTTTAGCCACAGAAATGCCTTCTTTCAAATGATGTCTTTCCACTTTTGGCTGCCACAGTTCATGTTAGGAAGGCAACTGCAGGGAATGGAATGTAAAATAGAAAAAGAGCTGGTGAGAGTAAAGACTTGTACTCTGATTTCAGTTGCACCATGAATTAGTTTGATGGCCTTAGGCTCTTCTCCTGTCTTATCCCAGAGGAAAAGAGGAGTTGGGCTGGATGCTTCAAGTGAAAGTCTGTAGCTGTGCCTGTTACAGCATTTATCCCCCTTCTGTCGTCAGCCAGGGATTTTTCTAGTTAGCCACTGAACCTTCCTACTTTGCCCCTTTTCTTTTCTTTTTTCTTTATGTTTTTTTTAAACTTTTAAAAAATTTATTTTAACTTTTTATTGAATCACTGTGAGATAGACCCTTAAAAAGCTGTTCATGATTGGATTTCAGTCATACAGTATTCCAACACCCATCCCTTCATCAGTGTGTATTTCCCAGCATCAGTGTCCCCAGGTTCCCTCCCATCACCCTCCTACCCCATCCCCACCCCATGCCTGTCTCTATGGCAGGTGCTTTTCTCTCTCCATCTCTTTTTCTCTCCTTTTGGACATTGTGGTTTGCAATATTAATACTGAAAAGTTAAAAAGAATATCCCTTTACCTACTTTTAGCCCTCAAATCTTGTCCAGTGTGATCATTCCCAGCTATTATTGTCATACTGGTCTTTTCTCTGTCTTACCTACCCTCAGCCCCCCACACACTTGTGGTTAGTTCCAACCACTGACCAGTCCTCCTAACCCCTGTTTTCCCTGGCCATGGATATTAGTCTTCTACTATATATATATATTTGTATATACCACAGATGAATACTTTGCCCCTTCTCTCTCCATAATACCAACTGTGGGTCAGGGAGGTATACCTTAAAAAAGATACCTATTTTTCCCTGATGATTGTTCTTGTCATAAATGTGTGTAATTTCTCTTTGTCTTTATAATTATTATAACAAAGAGCCTCTATCCCTCAAACACCTGGAAGCTACAGTGACTAGAGGACAAATTCATACTGCTCTCTTCTGCTATTATTCCATATTGCTCTTAGAGAACAATAAAAGTAAAAGTAAAGGCCCTCCCGTTGATCATCGATTTGCTTGAGCGGGCCCAGTAACGTCTCCATTGGAGACTTTGTTGTTACTGTGTCTGGCATATTGAATACGTGACGGGGAGCTTGCCAGGCTCTGCCGTGCGGGCGAGATACTCTCGGTAGCTTGCCGGGCTCTCCGAGAGGGGCGGAGGAATCGAACTCAAGTCGGCCATGTTGGCTGCGTGCAAGGCAAACGGTCTACCGCTATGCTATCGCTCCAGCCCAGATAGCTCCAGCCCAGAGAACAATATTTAACTGAAAAAGAAATCAGATAATCATCAACAAAGTAAATAAAATACTTTTTAAAAAAAAAACTATTTCTCCTGAGCAAAGACATTATGTTGGTTGTTGTTATTATTTTATTTTTTGGTTTTGGGGCCACAGCCATCAATGCACAGGGCTTACTCCTGCTTCTGCTCTCAGGGATCACTCCTGGAAGGGATCAGGGGACCACACGGGGTACACTCAGGAATTATTCCTGGCAATGCTTGGGGGACCATATGGGATGCTGGGAATCGAACCCGGGTCAGCCGTGTGCAAGGCAAATGCCCTACCTGCTGTGCTATCGCTCCAGGTCCCACGATAAGACTCACTCTAACTTAAACATTTCAAAAGAAAAAAAAGAGGAGGGAAGAGGGAGTGCAAAGATAGAGGAAAGGTGAGGGAAAGAGGAGAGAAAAGGAGAAGAGAGATATGAAGAGGATTATCAACCCGCCTATCTCTTTACCTAAGTAATCCTCTCTGTCACAGACATAGCCACTTTCAAAGACAAAGCCACATCAAGACAAATGGGGCTCAAGAGGCCCTTTCCTTTTCTTTCTGAAATAGCACCTTTCCATCCTTACCTCGGGCACTGGAAGGAGCAGAGGTAATCATCTGGGATGGTGCTGAGTGAGTGGAACTCAAGCTGGAGGAAGAAGGGCTTGCCTGGGACGAGGACAGAACAGAGACGTTGGTGACTGAGCCCTGGTACCTGGGGTTGGGATAAGAGAGCTGCAAAGGAAGAAAAATCAGCAGGATAGAGGTTTCATGCTTGGATTCTACAACTGGCCTAGGATTGGCTTTATGTTCTGATGTGCCCGGAATTGGTATCTGATACTAAGTCCTGTGCCCTGGAGAAATCCAGACTAGTGTCTGGCGTAAAGGTTGCCCACCACCCAAGGAACAGGGCTGTTGGCTTGGCCCTTGTGACAGTGACTCTGGAGGAAGTAGGACTTAGCCATTGGGAATGCCATAGGGGAGGACAATTTGGTAGAAGAGCTTTCCTATCGGGTCTCTATGAGTAGCCATCCAGAGCTGTGTTTTCTTTTTGGGTAATAAGACATGAGAACTGTGACATGGGCTACTGTGTAGGGAAGACAGTTTTTAATATTTCTGGGTACTCTAAATTCAGGAACCAGGGAACTAGGCAGGGTTGCCAACACTCAAAATCAGGCCAACTATCAGAGAGGTAAGCGCTCAAGATATGGTGCCCTGGCCACTCTCAGACAGCTCTTGTACCTGCATGTGGTGGTACAGATCCTCAGCAGCCTCGCCCATGGAGCTGTCACCCAACATTACCACGTTTCCTGCTTCACTAGATGCATGTGAGGAGAGAGAGGACGATGAGTGGCGACCTGTGCCCATCAAGTTCATGGGGCTGCAAACAAGTGTGGGAAAAAGGGGGGAGTCAGGTACAGAGCTGACTAGTAGCAGGTGTCAAAGTTATCTTCAGCCTTAGCTACCACCATTTGGAGGGTTCCACAGCTAATACTCATACCTGTTTGAAGCCTGAAGCACTTCTGGAACCCACCCTGCTGCTCAGGGGCTCCTGGTCTGGGAGGGCTAGTGGAAGGCCACAGAAATAGTCTCTGCCTGGAGGTAAATGGCTATAGCACCTCAGTATGATGATACCAGCAATTTCTCAATTAAAGGGAATGAGACAGACTGAATCAGGTCAAAGATCTCAGGATCCTTCCTATGTGGTTTTTAATTTCGGTCAGTTTCCACTCCCTGCTGGGTTCTGTTCCTAGGTTAGGGGTGTGTCTTCTCAGTATGGGAAACTATCAAAATAGCTGGCTATAAACAACCTGTTGGTGTTCTCCCATGACTATAGCCAAAGGCTGGCTTCTGCTAATAATATCCGTTCCTCTCTTCACTCTTTCCTTCCTCCCTTCTCCCCCCTCCCCTTTTTTTTTTTTGCTTTTTGGGTCATACCCGGCGATGCACAGGGATTACTCCTGGATCATGCACCCAGAAATTACTTCTGGTGGTGCTCAGGGAACCATATAGGATGCTGGGAATCGAACCCAGGTCGGTTGCGTGCAAGGCAAACACCCTACCCACTGTACTATCACTTCAGCCCCCCCCTTCTTCCTTTTTCATTTACTGAGTGTCTACTCTGTACTGACTTGCTGCTCACACTGAAAACAAATCTAGTGAGGGTCTTCTCTCATACACTCTGTCTATGGCCTAGTCTTCTTGCCCTAGAGGTTTTGTGTATCTTCAGTTGCGTCCAGGCAGATCAGGACTCCTGAGTTCAGAGCAATCACACCTTGACATCCATATCATCATCATGTTGTTTTCTTAAAACAGACTGTTTATCCTTATTCCTCCTGGGATCAAGTCCAAAGGTCTAAATAAACAAGTCCTTTTTAAAGTTGACCCAGGCTCCCTTTCACGTTCTCACCTTGCATTCCAGCTCAACACGACTTTACCTGTTGCATTGACTAGACTGACTCATTTTCATTCTGAGGCACCTATAAATGGCATATACTTTGCTCTGTTTCTGCATTTTATCAGTCCCCCTCCTAATCCCAATTCTTTCTTCCTGTAAAATTTATTACTTATCCTTTCCCCCCTTCTCCTAGGATTCCCATAATATCATGTATAGTCTTTAGTGACCTAGGATAGTGACTGACTGTATGCAGAGCATAAGTCCTAGGGCAGAAAGCTGTGTTATTTTAAAATACTAATTATTTCCTCTGCACATGGGTAAGAGAACATGTGGGCGAGTACACACAAGCACGAGTTAGGACTCACTTGATCTAACCTTTGACATTCAGACTTACCTCTATGGAGGAGACCCCTCAACAGCTCTATGGCCATACCTGTGCCTGTGGGTCATCTTGATGGTCTCGGGGCTCATGGGGCTATGGGATGCTAGGACATTTCCCCGTGGGGTGCTGGTGCCTGAGCATGCAGGACTTAGCTTGTCCAAACCTGGAAATTCCTGTTGAGACATGAGTGTCCCTTCATCAGAGAGTAAAGGAAAAACAGGTTTTCAAAGGATGGGGCGAATTTGGAATGGAAGACTGAGGCAGTGATGGAGGGAAGCAGACACTAATGGAGAGTGAGATGCTGGAGTGTTGTATGCATAAAACTTAATAATAGTGCTGTAAATCATGATGCTTGCAGGCTGGTGGTACAAACATAAAAACAACCAGATACTGTTGACTGAATCTAAATTACTAAATGACCCCTTCACAGCTAAAACACTTCCTAACCATAAACACAAGAAGCAGTGAGTGAGGCACTAGGTTGATTTCACTGAAAGAACATATCTGGAACAGGCTGAGATTGGTCTGAGCTCATGTAACAGTGTTAAGAGATTTGTTCACTACAGAAAAGAACAGAACAAGATCTGGGAAGCAGGAGAAGAATAGCTAATTATCAGCTGTCAGTCAGTGAATGCCTTTTACATAAGGATTGGGGTAGGGTTTTTATAGGATTGCTAAGTGGCCCAGCTCTTAGTGACCTGGGTTAAATTGTATATAGAGAACACATTTTCATAATCCAGGAACACAAGAGCAAATTTCTCAATCTACATCAGGGTTTTGTGTCCTGTGACTGAAAAGCAGCATGGTACTGTTTTAGCAGAATTAAATTCTTATTAAGTACACAGATATCTTGCCAGAAACTTTTGGTTCTAAATCCTCTTGGGTGATGACATACTGCTTTGTGTCCCTATTTGTGACTATGGAGAAACAAAGAATAACTGTTGATGTTTTCTCAAGCCCTAAGTTCAGTGGGGAAGTCCGAGCTTGGCCTGAAGAAGCAGCAAGGCCTACACCTTCTCCTTCCGAAGCATAAAGTGGAAATATGCTTCTGCTGCTGTAGGAGATACCTGCCTGCATGCACTTTGAGGTGTATGGGTGAGTATTCTGTGTTTTCTAATGCACTGACCGCAAACCTGAGTGGCAGAAACCACCTCTACAGCCTGTTCTACTGGCCAGGCTCTAGCCTGTTTTATATTGTAGAGATTAATCAAACAGGAGACAGTGAAATGGGAGGTAATAAAACATCCATTAGATTTAATGATACTACTTAAGTTCTTTATTAAGTGGACATTTTAATTCTAGGGGGGGCGGGACATAAGAATTAAAACACAAGAGTCTCTGCATATTTTACTTCAAGATACCATGGGTTAAATATTTCAGAGAGAAAAAATTTTACACTCTGAAATCTTTCCTTTGAAAATGTGTTCTCAAACTATGCATTTCCTCAAAATGTGCTCGCCAACAATAGGCTAATTTAAGTTAGTTTTGGTTTTGGGACCACACCTGACAGTGTTCAGGTTTACTCCTAGCTCTGTGTTGAGGAATCACTCCTTGTGATGCTTGGGGGAGCATATGCAAAGCCAGGGATCAAACCTGGGTTGGTTGTGTGTAAGGCAAGCAAGCACCTTACCCATGGTTCTATTTATGGCCCCTGCTAGGGTTTTTTTTTTTTTTTTTGGTTTTGTTGTTTTTTAAATCTTGGTTTACAATTCATGCTGCCCATACTTGTATAGCAAAGGACTCAGACTGTTACTGGAGATCTGGAAAGAGACTGAGATGACTAGAATATCCAGAATCCAAAAAATAGGACAAGTCAAACCCAAACAGATCCAACCTTACCAGGACCTCAGTGGTCAGTGATATCCCTGAAAGGGGAACTTTTAATTTATTATGGCCTTGCTCTACACTGAACAATTCCAGTTCCCTTGCTTCCCTCCAATTTTTCTAGTAATCCTATAAGATTACTGAGAAGTAATGAGAAGAAAGCAGCAAGTAATTGGTGCTTTTCACTCCTTGTGATTTGGCAGCCAGTTCACAGAGCAGGAGGGATTCCTTAGGAAATACTTGGGAGTCAGTTCCTTGGTTGAAAATGGGGCAAGAATATGTGAACAGGAGACTGCAGATCACCTGAACCCTATTCTTATCAGTTAGCACTTTCTGTAAGGTGCCCCTCCCCAAAGGGAAATTAGTCAACTTGTACAAAAGTCCCAGTTCTGCTTATATGTGCCAGATCCTATCAGGGTGATCTGAAGACCATATGAACTTTCTATAGCTTGGACCAAACTCTGAATGTGCTTAATCCCTCTAAGAGCAGTAGTTACTAAACTTCTGCCTGCCTAAAGATGAGATCTTGAATCATACTCTATTAGCAGAGTTTGGGTGGGAGAGGGAAAAAGGAAGGGGAGTTAGAAGGGTAAGGTTGGGGCTGGGGTGTAGCTCAGGAACAGAGTGCTTGCTTTGCATATCCGAGGCCCTTAGCAACCCTCCCAACTTCCTTCCCCCTCCCTCCATTCCTTATCCCCCTTTTCTCCCTCCCCCACGAAAAAGAAGGAAGGGCAAGTAGGAGGGATGAGGAGGGGATGAGAGCAGGGAGGGTGTGAGGACTGGCTCAGACTGTATCTTATTCCTTTAGGCTCTAGGGATGAAAACATCTCTAAAGAGATCCCTGCATGTGGGGATCTCAAATACTCAGGTATTTGAGTCAGTTTCCTCCTCATCTGGAAACCTCTCTTCATCAGCATAGGGACTGAAGAAAAAAGCTTTTTTTTTTTTTTTTTTTGAATATGACTCATTCCTTGAACAGGATCAGAGGGCCCTGGGCATCCTTTTCCTGGCAGCTTTTAAAGAAATTTGCCCTTTAGCACCATGAGAGGAGGGTGCCTTCTGCCCAAGACTGCCCACTGCTGGCTGTCACAGGGACCAGAAGCAACTCTGCACATGTGGGATGCACTTGGTGCAGCAGGAAGTCTAGTCCTACAGAGGGTAGCCTAACCAGGCCAGGACGCAGGCACGCCACTGCCTGTGCAGCAACATGAGTTGGACAGAGCCCCACACACTCTGGCTGAGACCCTTGGACTGCCTGCAGTCCCCCGAGAGGGTGATTCAGATTATAGAAGAGTGGCTATGTGAGTGACCATCTGAGTTATGAGAGCAAAACCAGGTCAAATGGGAGGAGAAGAAAGAAGTTTTAGAACAAGTCCCTGGTACTGTATCCCTACGCCTTGGAGGGATTTTAGATGCCTGAACAAAGAATTCTCACTCCAGAGAAAATGTATGGCAATCAGTAACCAAAGCAGCATAGAGGATGATCATTTACTTATAAGAATAACCTGTTATGTTTTTAAGGCTTTCTTTTCAAGGAAGGTTAGTTATTGATGTAGCACTGTAACACTATCCTCCCACTGTTCATCGATCTGCTCAAGCGAGAAGCAGTAACATCTCACAACAAATTGTGAGACTTGTTGTTACTGTTTTTGGCACACTGACTACGTCACAGGGAGCTTGCCAGGCTTTGCCTTGCGGATGAGATACTCTCGGTAGCTTGCTGGGCTCTCTGAGAGGGGTGGAGGAATCGAACCCAGGTCGGCCATCTAGGCCATGTGCAAGGCAACGCCTTACCTACTGTGCTAATTATTGATGAAACTTGAAAAAGGATCAACCTACTTATATTTAATATTATTAAAAATTTATTTTATCTGGTACTAGGGACTGAACCCAGGCTTCAAATATACAAGGCAAATAATGATCTACATCTAGCTATAGTCCTTGACCCTCAAAATATGTGTATATATACTTTTGTTTTAGGATGACACCTAGTGGTGCTAAGGGATTATGACATGCCTGAAATAAAATCTGGGACTCCTGCCTGCAAAGCATGTGGTCCAGACTTTTGAGCCAACTTCCTGGACTGGGACAGTTTTTCCTTCACATTTTTGTTCCCTTATCTGTACTTCAACCCTCACTTTTCTTCAGCTTGTTGTACCAACCTGGAGGAAGTGATACCTTGTCTATTTGAAGCAGGGGAAGGGTAGGGATCAGCTTACTTGATAAAGACTGGCCCGCATCATCTGGAACTGATCAATCAACTTCTTATGTAGAGGGCGCATTTCTGGGTGTACAAACTTCTCATGAACTGCCAGTCCAACTCCAAGGACATGGACCTACGAGAGTAACACCCAAGGCCACTCTGTTAGCCAGGAAGCAATCCCTGAGAACTGTAGCTGCCCTGTGGTGCAAGAGTCTTTCCCTCTTGGCCACAGGCCTTGAAGCCCTGTAAGACATACCTGTTCCTGCATTAGCTCCTTGAGTTGAGTGATCTTCTCAGCATCTCCTGGGTGCTTCGTAATGTAATCTTTATCAAAGAAGGCCTGTGAAAGGAAAGGCCATGTCAGGAAGACTCTTCTCAGGACTATTTGGGACTTAGGAAGCTGAAGTCTTATTTATTTATTTATTTATTTATTTATTTATTTGGGCTGGAGCAATAGGACAGTGGGTAGGGTGTTTGCCTTGCAAACAGCCAACATGGCTGACCCGAGTTCGATTCCTCCACCCCTCTCAGAAAGCCCGGCAAGCTACCGAGAGTATCTCGCCCGCACGGCAAAGCCTGGCAAGCTACCGGTGATGTACTCGATATGCCAAACACAGTAACAATTGTCACAGTGGAGACATTACTGGGCTTGCTCAAGCAAATTGATGAATAACAGGAGGGCAGTGACAGTAATTTATTTATTTATTTATTGAATCACTGTGGGAAAAGTTACAAAGCTTTCAGGTTTAAGTCTCAGTCATACAATGATCAAACACCTCTCCCTTCACCAGTACTCATTTTTCACCACCAAGAACCCAAATATACCCCCCTCCCACCCCTCCCAATGCCTGTGAGGCAGATGAATTCTACCTAACACTCTATTTTGACTACGTTCATTATTTCAACAAAAGATGCACCATTATTGTTTACAGTTTACACCCAACAATCAGAACTGCTACAAAGGCATTGTGAAATAATTTGTTTTCTACAGTTAGTTAGGAGAACCATATGAATTTGGATTTCTGATATTTTACTTATTAAGCCTGGAGGTATTTCGGCCAAGAGCCAGATAATTATGAGAATGGTATTTGTGCCTCTGGAGCCATGGCCGTGCCGGAGAGCCGCTCGTGGGGGGGCAACTCGTGACCTTGGTAGGGCGTGAAGGATGAGAAAGGAACGCCCCCCTTCCCATGAGGTTTCAGTTGCCCCGTCACCGACGGCTCATACCTGAGGAAGCTGAAGTCTTAAGGTGCTTCCAGAAAGGCAGCCAGTCTACCTTTTCATGGGTACACCACCAAAGTGCCTCTAGCCTGCTGGTTTGCATAAATCATGTACAGTTTCAGGTGGTTTTTTTTTTGGGGGGGGGGTGGCGTATAAAAGAGGACTGGAAGTTGTCAAGCCATCTAAGCCTCGTCCCAGGCCCTTATTGAGCCTGGATAGCCTGGGTTGGCAGGCAAGACTGGTGGCCACAGTACAGAGGGGAAAAGTCTTAGCTACCCCACACCTTTTTTATTTTATTTTTTTTTTTGTGAAGGGCTGGGTATGAGGGCTCCTCTTAAGAGTCCATTTAACGTCTTCCATAATCAGATGAATTACTCATCTGTTAGCATTAAGAAACTGAAAAGGCTTCCTGCCCCACCAAGACCACGAGTTGCCCTCCACGAGTGGCTCTCCGGCACGGCCATGGCCCCAGAAGCACATGGACCCAATTCAGAACCCAGCAGTTTTTGGCAGAAATGTGACTTTACTATGCATTAAGCTATGGCGGGGGGGGGGGGGAGGAGGAGGGTGTCTCTTCCACCTTTCTACCCCCCGGTGGCACAGTAGCCACTGCCTCAGAGCCTACTGGACAGCCAGGTATGAGCCGGCAGTGACGGGACAACTGTGGCCTTATGGGATGGGAGGTGGAACCGGCCCGTCCTTCCTGCTCCCCCATCCCGAGACCACGAGTTGTCCCCAACGAGCGGCTCTCCAGCACGGCCATGGCCCCAGAGGCACACAGACTCAATTTGGAACCCAGCAGCTTTTGGCAGAAATCCCTCCAGACTTAGTAAAATATCAGAAATCCAAATTTGCACGGCCGCTATTGCAGCCAAGCAACATCATATGCTCTTCATAACAAGCAATAGAAAACAAATTATTTAATGATGCCTTTTCAGCAGGTCTGATTGTTGGGGGAAATTCCAAATAATAATGGTGCATCTTTTGTCAAAATAATGAATGTAATCAAATTAGAGAGAGAGAGTCAAGTAGAAATCATCTTCCTCACAGGCAGGGGGAGGGGTGGGATGGGGGACATATTAGGATTCTTGGTGGTGGAAAATGTGCACTGGTGAAGAGATGGGTGTTTGATCATTGTATGACCAAGACTTAAACCTAAAAGCTTAGTAACTCTTCTCACAATGATTCAATAAATAAATAATAAAAAAAAGACAAAACTGAAACACAGGGGAAACAACATAAGAACCATAAAAGATATATCATATGAAACTGTACACAAAAGGAGTAGAGTGAATATGCAAAACTCTAAATAAAAAATAAACCTTTCAATCTATTAAAAAAAAGAGACTGAAAGAAAGGAAGTATCCCATCAGAGAGCTATGACACAGATACAGAGTCTAGGAGGAAGCTTTTAAAACCTCATTCCAGGACCAACCTCAGCTGAAAGGCAAGCAGGATAATCTTTTTTTTTTTTTCCATTGTGCCTCTTTTTTTTTTTTAAATTTTTATTAGTGAAAAACCATGAGGTACAGTTGTAGACTTACAAATTTTTGTGCTTGGGTTTCAGTTATACAATGATCGAGTACCCATCCCTCCACCAGTGCCCATTCTCCACCACCACTAATCCCAGTATCCCTCCCCCCCCATCCCCCAATCCCACCCTGCCTCTGTGGCAGGGCATTCCCTTTTGTTTTCTCTCTCCTTTTGGCTGCTGTGGTTTGCAAAAGAGGAATTGAGTGGCAATCATGTTCGGTCTATAGTCTACTTTCAGAATGCATCTCCCATCCTGGGCTGATCTTCCCAACACCCTTTATTTGGTGCTCCCTTCTCTATCTGAGCTGCTTTTACCCCTAGAGTGTGCGGCTGACCTCCAAGCCATGGAGTAAACCTCCTGGTACTTATCTCAGCTATTCTTGGGTGTTAGTCTCCTATTTTGTTACTTTATGTTTCCCAGATGAATGAAATCTTTCTATGTCTCTCCCTCTCTTTCTGACTCATTTCACTTAGCATGATACTTTCCATGTAGTACCATTTGTATGTAAATTTCATGACTTCATCCTTTCTAACAACTACATAGTACTCCATTGTGTAGATGTACCAAAGTTTCTTTAACCAGTCACCTGTTCTCGGGCACTCAAGTTTTTTCCAGATTCTAGCTATTGTAAACAGTGCTGCAATGAACAAACAGGGCAAGCAGGAGAATCTTAAGAGACACCAAAGGACTGCCTTTCCAGACTGGCTTTCTGCACGGGTTTGGTCTTTGCCCGGCTCACCTCTTGGTAGCGTGCAATGCCTCCATTGACTGCGGCATCAATGACACCATTCAAGCACATGCTGAGCAGATTGATGTTGCCGTGCACCTGCTTGTGTTGATACTGGCTGATCAGGGCCCGCAGCTCCTGGTTCTTATTCTCAACCACTTGGATGGCATTCTCCAGAGGGCTCACCTCCACCTAGGGGTACACAGTGTCATTACAGGCACAGTGGTAAACCTTCCCTCATTATGGTTCTGAGAGCAGGGATCTAAGACATGTGGTGCTTGTTCTCCCACCCTTATTCCAGCAAACCGGAGATTCCCTGGGCTCTTCCTAGCTTTCACTTCTGATTTTTAGGTACTTAGAAGTACAGCCAAGGGTGAAAAACACCACTTCTCAAGTCAGAGAGCACTGGTTTCATCAATCTCAGAGAATAATTTCCTCAATTGTAAACTGGGAGATTAAAAATACACACTGCGGGGCTGGAGCAATAGCACAGCGGGTAGGGCGTTTGCCTTGCATGCGGCCAACCCGGGTTCAATTCCCAGCATCCCTTATGGTCCCCTGAGCACTGCCAGGGGTGATTCCTGAGTGCAGAACCAGGAGTAACCTCTGTGCATCGCTGGGTGTGACCCAAAAAGCAAAAAAAAAAAAATACACACTGCCTAGGAGAAGTATGAAGATTAAAAATGATAGAAGATTACAAAGCCCGCAGCATAGAACAGTCTTGGGTACTCTCAGCCAGGCATGCAGCTAACACTCTCTTTAGACTAAGGTCACCAATGCCAGGGCTGAGGGAGCAACTGTGAGGACTAGCTCATTTCAAACTTGTCTCACCAGTTCCCTCCTCTCCACTTCAAACCACCGAGAGATGCCAGGTAAGCTGTGAGTCAGGGTCAGTGTGGTGCGCTCAATCCATAGGCTCTGCAAAGAGGGCAGAGGCAGGTACAGGTGATTAGACAATTTTTGCCACACCCTGTCTGCCTGAAGGATGAAACAGTGACAAGTTCTTGAAAAGGAGAACTTGCCCAGCCTTGTTATACATGGCCTGATTTCCCAGATTTGTTTACCTTAAATTCATTCTCCTTGTCCTTGGGACCTTTGTGAAAAGGTCTGTCATACCGGAACCTCCTCACATTGTTGACACGGTAGAAACTCTTGACTCGATCTGGGACTCTATCCATCTGCAGGACATCTACATAATCTGGAATGGGTGTCACCGCATAGATCTGCAAGTCTGAGCAAGAAGTAAAGGGGAAACTCGTACATGTCAGAGATGGATCTAAGTGTCTGACCACTGTCATCCCTCCAAAAATGAGAAGTCATCATAGGACTCCAATTCCTACTAGTGGCAGTAGCACCTCAAGAGTAAATCCAAATATAGTTATGTCATCCTCCCCTGCTGTACCCTATCTCTGCTCCAGCAGTGAGTCTCAGGGCACTCAGCCAAGCTGAGATGTCAATAGCCACATGTTCTCCCTGACCCTCAAGAAAGAAGGGACATGGGTTAGGAGAATGCAAGTGTGCACCTCCACAAGAGTGAGGAAGTTGTGGGTCTGGGTCTATTCATTGTAGGTAAATTATATTTAATGTAAAAAGTCCTTTTAACAGAATACTCATTTTGGTCTTTATGGTGTGACAACATGTGGAAGTCCTCCTGCCCTCCCCTCTCTGAAACAAGATTGTCACAGTTATGGTGACTTTTCCAAGGAGGCCACATAAAGGAGATAAGGGCAGCCCACTGTTTTCATTCAGACTTCCAAGTACCACCAAGGTCACAAGCACTATCCATCTCTTGCCTCACTCATTTCTACCCTGCTTCTTAGAGCTTCCTGACAAAGACTAGAGACTAAAACAGAGGGGCCTCCAAGTATGCAGAAAACAGTGCTTGTGTTTCCTTTGTGGCAAGAGTCTTTGTGGGACTCCAAATAACCCTGTACAGTGTTTTTTTTTCTTGCTTCAAAGTACCCCTCACAGGGCAGGGTGGGGAACAACGTTCTGGTCGCAGCCAGTCTCAGGATAAAGGTGTCTTAAAACCCTGATGATGACAGGTCCCAAATAGCTAAGAGAATTCTACACTTCTTCTGTGAGAATGAGTGCCCTGTCTCCTAAGTGAGGGTTTGGTGATGAGGATACACTCTGGCTTAGGACTTATGAGTAACTCATCCACAAGACCAACTTTTTATGGCAAAAAATAGTCTAGTGGGTGGATCTCAAGACCTCCCAGGGCCCCAGCCTCCTTCCCCCATAGAGTGTTGAAAGATACACTGGGCGTCACACTGCAGGATGGCGTCATCAGGATGGTTAGGGTGCTGCATGGCGACAGCTTGTGGGAACTCGCTGAGCATCCTCTGCTGGAAGGCCTCCAGCCTCTCGTAGTCATGGCCACGACACACATATTCTTTGTTCTGCCACAAACATAAGAGCACACTTTATGGCTTGCTCGTAGCCCCCACCTCCATCTACACGAATGTCAATAGACACTCATGTCTCCAAAATGTTCTAGGAGCCTCCAAGGCAGGCAAGGGTCACTGCATTTAATTCTTGCCTTAAGGGGAAATGGTAGTCAAGAATAAAGAGGGACAGAAGAAGGGAGAATTGCACTGTGATATGGCAGCCCAATGAGAGAGAGAGAGAGAGAGAGAGAGAGAGAGAGAGAGAGAGAGAGAGAGAGAATACAAAGGACGCAGGAAGCATGGAGGAGGATGGGATGCAAAGTAGAGTGGGATTTTGGAGAAAGCCACACCAGAAAAGTATCATGAAAGGTACATCTGGGTTAATTTAGTAAAAGGGTGGGAAGGGCAATCCATGTGAATACAGTGGTAACTACAATAAAGCCAAGACAGGAAAAGGTGCAGTTAGAAAAGATGCAAAGGAGAACTGCTGGCACGATGACTGCAGACATGTGCTTGCAGACATGTGCCAAGGAGTGATCACCATGGGGGCTACCGTATAGTTTTTTTAAAAGTGGGGGTGGTCAGGTGTGTGTTGTTTAAGAATCACTTTGGTCAGCTGAAAAAATGAGTTTAATATTGTCCAGTGTCCATTAGTATTCAGTAACTATTTACTATATTAATAAACCCAGTGTCATTAATTCCTTTGCAAAGGTGTCATAACAGCACTGAACATATTCTTAATAACATTTATGAAAAACTGTTATTAAATAATATTTAGTTTGGGTTAAATTTTTTGTTTTTCCTTTGAGGGCGGAATCATAACAAATCACCCTTAACTCTGTTGCACTGGTCATAGGGCTTAAAGAGTTAATTGCTGTAGAAGGTTCCTGAGTTCCCTGGTGACATCTGTCTGCCTGCCCAGTTACCTCACTCGATCCACATTGATAAAATGTCATATACTGGCAGTCTCTCCTGGCATATCTTCAGAGGAGAGGAGAGAGAGCTGGTCCATAGGGTCAGCCATCTGCTTCCTGGTACAAGGATGATACGCAGATCTCAGCCTTCCTCTGTCCATTTTTAACTGTCCTCTTACTTTGGGAGAATTCAAGACTAGGCTACATGTCCATTTATAACCAAATAGAAGGGCAGCACTAGAAGGGAAATGAGGACTAGGAAGATCAGGGTGGTACCTCCAATAGAACAGACCAGTAGTTAAAGGACAGAGGAATTTATAAGTCCAATGCTTGATAGGCAGAATTGACATAGAAAGTAATAATGCATAAAGAATTGGCCTCTTATTTTCACAAATATACAATCTTCATAATGAACTCACAAATATACAATCTTTACTACTGTGTGTTCATGAGTCAAGTGTAGAGAAAACAAAATTACCCTCAAGAAGGGAGGGCTGGATATTTTCCTGTCTCTGTGCAGATGAGTAGAAATCACATTTGTGAAGCAAGGTCGCAGCAGATGGTTCAGAGAAACCAAGCTGGCAGAGCTAAAGTAATAGATGGCCTATGTGTTCAAGGAAGTGGAGGGGAGTAGGTGGCCTTCTGGGGAAGACCCAGCAGGAGGAAGGTATATGGTATTGACCTTGAAACTGGTTGTCAGTTTCAAATTTGTTTGGCGAGTGTCCCAGCATCCCACACAAGACAGAACTGATTGCCACCACTTTCTACTTTGTTCTTGCCACACACAAGGCAAACAAGCTACCTATACTGGAACCTTTTTCACTACAGATGAAGTGAGAAGCTGATAGAAAGGAAGGCAGTACATAGTTAGGCCAGGCAGATTTGTTTGTGTGAACTATAGCACTAGAGAATCTTTTTTGGGGGGTGGGGTGTGGTGGGGTACACCTGGAGATACTCAGAGGTTACTCCTAGCTCTGCACTCAGGAATTACTCCTGGTGGTGCTTGGCGGACCATTATGGGATGCTGGGGATCGAATCCCAGGTCAACCACGTGCAGGGCAAATGCCCTACCCACTATATTACTGCTCTGGCCTTGGGACTTAATTTTATGGAGATGGGGATGGACCGATGAGTGACATTTCCTAACATTCCTTGTTCTTTTTCTTCCACTACTAGCAAAACAATGGACATTCAGATGGAGATTTGTTATTTGCCAGGTCCTACTTATCTGGCAGTTCTGAAATCCCTGGGACACTGTTGTGTCTTGTTACATGAGTCTGAGAATGTGGAATTCAGACCAGATCATGATTGACGGTCCCAGTTTGTCATAAAAAGAAATTGGGGAGGGGGAAGGATACCTGACTTTATAATATCCAAAAATGACATTTTGGAGTAAAATCTATTTATGAAGTATATATTGTGGGACCAAATAAGGAGACTAAAGTGACAGGGTTAAGTTACAATGCCAAAATAAGAAAGAAAAGAATCATTAGTCTGTCAAAGGACATTGTGGGGATTTATATATATATATATACACACACACACACACACAATTTAAATTTTTAACTTTTTTAAACGGAGATATTTTTGGCTTCTCTCTCTCTTTTTAACTGCCAACTCTTTAATTCTTCAATAGCTCTTCTGTTGTTGCTGACACATCTTCATTTCTTTTTTTTCTCCAGTTTTTTTTTTGCCACACCCAGTGTTTTCATGGCTTACTCCCATCCCGTGCTCAGGGATTACTCCTGGTGAGTTCTCTCTAAACAATGGTTCTATATGGTTGTATAGTTTACTGGGTAACTAGGGAAAAGAACCATAATCTCAGATTACAAAACCTAAGCAGCTCTTGAGAACAGGGTTCTGTTGAAATTCTGTCTGGTTGAGATAGGATTTAGGGAGCATTCTAGTCACTAGAAGTAGAAGAGGAAAGGTTTCCTAGACTTTCGTATGGAGAATTCTCAGATCTTGGTTATTTCTTGTAGGAATTCAGTTGCTTTGGGAAAAAACATCAAAAATCCATCCTAGCACATTCCAGATTGTCACAAAATAGTTGTGTAAAACAGTGCCTAAACCAGGAGGATTGGTCCACGGTTGGAAGTTTACCTCAAATGTTGGGGAGAAGGTGGTTGGGACAGAGAAGGGAACACCATGCCATGACTAAGATAGTTGGAAATGATCACTCTGGACAAGAACTACGTGCTGACACAGGTAAAGGAACAAACATGATAACCTCTCAATACTTGTATTGCTAATTATAATGCCCTAAAGGGGGGGGGCGGGGGGAGGGAGGTGTCGGAACACTATGACTGAAACTTGACCATGATCAGATTTGTAACTATCTCATGGTGATTCAAAATAAATAAATAAAAATTATAAAAAGGGGAGGAAACTCCAGAGCCCAAAGAGGGTAACCAATCCAGCCCAATAAAGCCAAATGCCTTTTGTTGAAAATATAGTCTTTCAAAAGAGAGGCATATAGGGACCGGACTGATAGCACAGAGGGTAGGACACTTGCCTTGTATTTGGCCAACCTGGGTCTTATCCCTGGTACCCCATATCATTAGGTCTTCAGTGCACTAAGCACAGAGCCAGGAGTAAGCCCCGACAGCCACCAAGTGTGTCCAAAAACCAACAAAAGAGGCATTCATTAGAACAGACAAAAAGTAAAACAACAACAAACCAAAATGCTAAAGTCATGTGTAAAATAAAATTTTTGGGACTGCTTGAATGGACTCACCCGAAGGAAAAAAGGAAACTTTCTGCCATAGAAGCCAACCCGAAAGAACTCAGGCTCCAGGCGTTGCTGCTCCATGATGTTGTCATAGTAGCTGGCTTCCATTTTCTGTGAAGAAGAAAGGTAGTCAATTTCAGGTTGTCTTGACTTACAAGGCAGGTCCCAAGACAACAATGTCTTTTGGAAAGAGAACATGGCAACTTAATCTAGACAAGATATGGGCCCCAAGCCATGTTGAGTCTCCCCCAAAGGAACTACATGACTGAGAGGAAGACTTCACTGCCATCCGTGGTGGGTGACTAGCAGTGAGACTCTGTGTCAGTGTTCTTTGCAGATGGGTGGACATAGTTCCACAGGGGCTCAGGCTTCCTACAAGTTCAGTAACAGTGTCTTGTCTTTTTTGTAGGGATGTCTAGTTTTGAGTGATACTCACTATACCAACTAACAGCTGTTTTGGCACTGTTTCACATCAATCCAATGGAAACATTCTTGTTCATGTACCATCTGACTAAAGATGCTAATAGAGGGCTGGAGCAATAGCACAGTGGGTAGGGCATTTGCCTTGTATGCGGCTGACCCGGGTTCAATTCCCAGCATCCCATATGGTCCCCTGAGCACCGCCAAGGGTAATTCCTGAGTGCAGAGCCAGGAGTAACCCCTGTGCATTGCCGAGTGTGACCTAAAAGGCAAAAAAAAAAAATGCTAACAGAGTGAGGAGAGTAACTTACTAGCACCACAGGTTCTGGTAATTTGAAACTTTCAAAGTTGGACACCCATGATGTCAGGCATTACCAAGTTTTTTTTTTTTTTAAGCTTTTAAATCATGGCTAACTTGGCTTCATGTTCAGAAAAACTTAGGGTTGTGAATGTAGCTCAACAGCGAAGTGGGTGGCTTGCATGCCTCAGACCCTGGTTTGACCTTCAGCACCACCAACAAAAAAAATCTGAAAAATGAAGTAAACAAACTTGACTGGCCAGTTAGTTCTAATGTTTTCCAGTCAAACCAGTCTGTCAGTACCTTCAAAGACTAAGAAGTTGGTGCCAGAGAATCACTTATACTAAATCACATATGTCAAACTCCCAGTCTATGTCAGAGAACAAGGTAGAGGTAACCACACTGACAAGGATACTGTCACTGTCACTGTCCTCCCATTGTTCATCATTTTGCTCGAGCAGGCACCAGTAATGTCTCCATTATGAGACTTGTTACTGTTTTTGGCATACTGAATATGTCACAGGGAGCTTGCCAGGCTTTGCTGTGTGGGTGAAATCCTCTCAGTAGCTTGCCAGGCTCTCCAAGAGGGGCTGAGGAATCGAACCCAGGTCGGCTGTGTGCAAGGCAAACACCCTACCGGCTGTGCTATCTCTCCAGCCTCCAACAAGGGTACATGAAGAGAATAAACTGAGAATATTGCCCTCTCTTTTCCAGTATAAATACCTGTTATGATTCAGAACGGACCACCAGCTGATGTAGTCAAGTGGTGGAGCACTTGCCTTGCATATAGGAGGCCTTGGGCTCACTCTCTGGTATTGCAAAACAAATAAACAACAAACAAGACAAAATCCACTCCCTCCCCCAACAAAAAAAGATTCTACCACAAACTACCAGAAAAAAAAGGTTGGATCCCTTCAAAATCCATGGAGTATTTTGCTTACTTTTAAATATTTTGCTTCTAAAAGAAAAGTAAGATAAAACATTTCATAGTAAAAGTTTATAATTTTTCAGAGGAATCATTCTTAAAGAAAACCATTTCAGGAAAACTTCATGAAGTAGAGCTGCTACCTCCTCCTTGAAACCCTCATCCTCTAATGCATATATGCTGCTTTACCCTTCTGAGTACCAGATGCTTTAAGGTAGAGATTATATAATCATTAATCTGCCCCCATGCCTGGGTGTTCCTTCCCGGGGCCCCTTGGAGGGGAGCGGGTTGAGCTTTCCTCCCCGCCCCGACCAGGGCTCCAGCAGCCGAAGACCTCCAGGACCAGCCACCACCATGCTGAGACCACTCTCCGCACACATGAAGGTACTGGCAGAGGGACAAAGCCACGCGGGTTCCGGGGCCGAGATCTCCAAGCCTACTCGAATTGGAGTCGAGCATCTTCCACCCAGATCCTCCAAATTCCAGTAGGCGGGGGTCACACCCACCACCTGGCCCCCTGGCGCCGTGTAATCCCATCAGCGGCCAAGACTCAAAGACTATAAAATCCAGATCCCAGAACCGCGCGGCCGCAAATGCGGCCGCGTGACATCTTATCAGAACTTTTTTTATGACATCTTATTGTCTCTTTCCTACTTTGGACAAACTTGCAGGCTATCGAATGTAGCCTGCCCACAGGGCAGAGTCTGGCAAACTCCCCGTGGCGTACCAAATATGCCAAATACCAGTAACAATGATGGGCCTCATTCTCCTAAAGAGCCTTGAATATAATCTCAGGGCTACGATGAAAGAGACGTTACTGGGGCCTGCTCGAGGCAATCGACGAATAACAGGATGATGAAATGAAAATGAAAAAAAAATCAGCTCTGAGTCTTGGTTCTCCAGCCAGACTATAAGCATCCTGAGAGCAGGAATACTGACTCCTTCTTCTATTCTTTTTTGCAACATTAGAGTAATGGTGCCAAGAAAGTATTGGCATTTTCTCTCAGAACTGAGGTAGGAGAATATGGAGAAAGCTCACCCGAATCCAGCTGAGGCTTTGATAATCATAGAGGCTCTCATACTGACATGCCAGCTCTCTGCACAATGGGATTCCAAACTCCCAGCTCTGCATCAAAAATAGAAATAAAATATCAGTACCTCAAGCATCCTCAGAATTGTTAAGTCTCCATCAAACAGGGCACAACAAAAGGCCTCTTGCCGTTAACATGTCACAAAGAACATATGTTCAAACCCAACTGTGTAACATAACACACATTACAGTGTTTTCCAGATCATGGTAGGATTTTCTAGCCAAATGACTATAGAGGTCTAAGAGATCTTTTTCTGATTACCATGTCAAGGACAGGCCTCTCCTACCCATTTTTGGTTCATTTCATGTTTAATATGTATTTACTTTTTGTTGTATTAGTCTCAATTAGATGATAAACTGCATGAGGGAAGAAATTGTTTAATTTATCCTCAGATTCAAGAACAGGCATGAAAAGGTACTCCATAAGGATTTATTTAGTGAGTTAATAAAGGAAACAATACCTTTAAAACTAAGATACTTTAAGCTCAAAAGTATGAAAACCAAGAAGAAAACTCCCCAAGGATTTGGTTATAGATATAACATTTTCTTATAGATGTAACAGTTCCCTTTAAAGAAAGAATTAAGTCTTTTTCATTTAAATTTATTTTAAAATTATTATAGTTTAGGTTATGGTAGTATTGTTTATGGTACTGATGTATAAAGCCAGTGCACGCCACCACCACCACCACCACCACCACCACCACCAAGGTGCCCAAGACTGTTGTTCTATATCACTTTTATTCCTGCATTCTCCCACTTCTCCCCCCACTACTTGGTAGTTTTGTAATCCAAAGCCAAGAGTTCATTATAGTTTGATATTTTCAATCCCCACTTCTCTTTCTTACCCCTGGAGATGAACAAGATCACTCAGTATTTGTCCATCTCCTTCTCACTTATTTTAGCAATAGCCTCCAGTTCCATCCATTCTGCAGCAAACTAAGTTCCATCTATTCTTACAACTGAATAGTATTCTATTGCGTATATATCACAACTCCTCTATCCATTCATCTGACATTGGAAATTTGGGTTGTTTTCATATCCTGGATATTGTACTAAATGTTTCAGTGAACACAGGTGTCCACATACCTTTTCAAGTTAATGTTTCATCTTTGGAGGTATAATTCCAGTAAGTGATGCTGCTGAGTCAAATGAAAACTCTATTCTTAACTTTTTCTGGAGATAAGTCTTCGTATTTTTTTCCATAGAGGTTGAACCAACATTCCCACCAGCAGTAACTGAGGCTTACTTTTTCATCACATCCTTGCCAAAGCTGATTATTTCATCTTTTTTGATACATATTTTTCTCACTAATGTGAGGTGTATCACAATATTATTTTAATTTGCAATTTCCCTGATAGTAAGTGATGGTGGCAACTTTTTTATGTGCCTATGGACAAATCTTAAAACAGACTCTAGGTGACCCTTTCCTAGTTTGGTCCCAAACTAGGACCTTCCACCTAAACATCTGTGTGAAATGGGCTGTAATAAAATCTGGGGAAATAGTACCCATCTCCTCCCCCTTTTAATAGAGTGCTTTATTCCTTGGCTAGACAGGGAATTGCCTCTTGGCTGGAAGCACTGGTATATTTGATCAGCTTTTCTCCCCCTCTATATATTTCTATATACTAATTAACTTATTATAGAAAAATTCAAGCATATGAAATATAGAAAATAAACTTCTAGGTACTTAACATCTAGCTACAAAGACCAACTCATGTTCTCTAATATCATTCCAACCCTTTCTATTCACTTATATTGCTTCAACTATAGGGTGTTTTTTTTTTTTTTCTTTTTGGGCCACACTCGGCGATGCACAGGAGTTATTCCTGGCTCTGCACTCAGGAGTTACTCCTGGCGGTGCTCAGGGGACCATATGAGATGCTGGGAATCGAACCCGGGTTGGCCGTGTGCAAGGCAAATGCCCTACCCGCTGTGCTATCTCTCCAGCCCCCTCATCTATAGTTTTTAACTCAACATCATATATTTTAAAGCACAAATATTTCCTTATAAATGTTTAATACTGACTGGTTTATCTTTTAATTACTATTAAAAAGTGTCAAGGAGGAAACCGTTTAATTTAGAAATGTTTTTCAAAAAGAGCATGCTAATTTCTGTCCCTTAAATAAAACAGTGCCATGTGGATGAAAACTGTAGGACCAGTAAAAAAGGATTAAAATATGAATTTTTATAGACTCAGAAACTGCCTGACCCAATTCAGTGCTTCTGCCTCAGAGAGCTAGAAAACTTCTTGCACCCTTCACTTTAAGGGGGAACATATTAGTCCTTTCTTCAGATCCAAGCACTTTTGGGGAAAGTTTTAGCAAAGAGCCAATAGAGTCTTCTAGCAGGTATGGGGGCCATGGGGGTTGGCCAAGTATCTATGTTACATACAATCTGGTCAGCCTTCCAAAATCTATTTATTTATTTATTTTTGCTCACCCCTGCTTTATTTTTATTTATTTATTTAGTTTTATTTTTTATTAGTGAATCACCATGAGGTATAGTTACAAACTTACAAACTTTCATGTTTGCTTTTAAGTCATACAATAATTGTTTACCCATCCCTTTACCAGGCCCATTCTCCTCCACCAATGTTCCCAGTATCCCTCCCACCCTCCCCACCCAACCCTGCCTCTGTGGCAGGTGATTCCCTTTTGTTCTCTATCCTTTTGAGTGTTGTGGTTTGCAACAGAGGTATAGAGTGCTCATTGTGTTCGGTCTATGGTCTACTTTTGGCATGCATCTTTCAACCCAAACGGGTCCTCCCAACATCCTTTACTTGGTGTTCCCTTCTCTATCTGAGCTGCCTTTCCCCCCTATATTTTAGGCCAGTTTCCAAGCTGTGGAGCAGACCTCCTGGTCCTTATCTCTACTACTCTTGGGTGTTAGTCTCCCATTCTGTTACTTTATATTCCACAGATGAGTGAAATCTTTCTATGCCTATCCCTCTCTTTCTAATTTCGCTTAACATGATACTTTCCATGTTGATCCACTTATATGCAAATTTCATGACTTCATCTTTTCTAATAGCTGCAGCTGCTCATTTAGGTGATGAGGATCCCATGTTTAACTAGAGACAGTGTTTGCTGACAGTTACCTCCCAGTAAACCAAACCTTTTCTCCACCCTCTTAACTACCTTTAAAATAAGGCAGGACCAAGTGCCTTTTGCTTTTTTGTTTTCATTCTTTTGCCCACTCTTGGAGGTGCTCAGGGAACCATATATTGGTACCAGCAATAGAACCTGGATTTCCTGAATGCAAAGCATGTGTTTCATCTCTTTCAGCTATCTTCCTGACCCCAGGATCGCATCTTATCTTTTCTTTTCTTTTTTGTTTTTGGGTCACACCTAGCAATACTCAGGGGTTACTCTGGCTCTGCACTCAGGAATTATTCCTGGAGGTGCTTGGGGGACCATATGGGATGCCAGGATCCCAGGTAGGCTGTGTACAAGGCAAACGCCCAACCCACTATACTATCACTCTGGCCCCTGAGAGTCACATTTTGTAAGACACTCTGTCACCTTTGAAGGACTGCTGGGATGTTGATGGATCCTGTGTTTTGAGAACTGCCTCTTAATGCAGGTAGGAAATTTACTACAGACACAGTACATTCCCATCTACATCTTTTCCATCAATTTCCTTCCATCAGGCAAAGATAACTCAATCCCCCCCAAAAACCCAAACAAACAAACAAAAAACCTTAACAATTTTAAACCCAATCATTTCTACCAACTGTGGCAGATATGTACTTTTATACACTCTTGCTATTCCTGGACGGGAATAGTACAAATGTGTCACACTGAGGGTGAAACTCATTAGACTTTTATTTTGTTTTTGGGCAATGCTAAGGGGCTACTCAGGGGTTACACCTGGCACAGTAATTACTCCTGGTCAGGTTGTGGCACTATATGGGGTGCAGGGGATTGAATGCAAGGCAAAAACCCTACCTGGTGTACTATCACTTTGGTCCCTTATCATATTTTTTTTATTTGCAATTTTTTGTGCTTTGGTTTCAATTATACAATGATCAGATACCCGTCCCTCCACCAGTGTCCATTTTCCACCACCATGGATAATATCCCTCCCACCCCCATCCCCCCATCCCCCCTGTCTCTGTGGCAGGGCAATCCCCTGTGTTCTCTCTCTCCTTTTGGGTGTTGTGGTCTGCAAAAGAGGCATTGAGTGGCAAACATGTTCAGTCCATAGTCTACTTTCGACATGCATCTCCCCTCCTGGGAGGATCCTCCAAACATCCTTTATTTGGTGCTCCCTTCTCTATCTGAACTGCCCTTTCCTCTAGGATACCCGGCTGGCCTCTAAGTTATGGAGTAATCCTCCTGGTGCTGATCTCAGCTATTCTTGGGTATTAATCTCATACTTTGTTACTTTATATCCCCCAGCCCTTATCATATTTTTAAAGTACATCACCCTTCATACTGGCAATTTTTATACACTGAAATAGAAAATTAAATTTTATTACAGTCTGGGTTTGATGGTTACATTATCATCAAAGTATGTGATATTAATCTGCAAAGTTCGTGCACCCCACAATGGCTCTCCACAACTGGCTATTTTTACATGAACTATTTTGAAGTAGCCTAAACTGGGAAGAGAGTATAAGAGAATTTTTTCCTAAGATTTACTACAAATGTTACAGAATTATTGAGAAACTGGGTTAGAGAAGGATTGTACTATTATGCTGCTGGCATGAACAGGTATTGAAGTTACTTTTTCCTCTTGGAAGAATATTCTCAGGACAAAGGAAAAGGTATGGCATTGTACACCTTTGTTTCATATCAGGAAATCTTCAGAAGCACCTCACTAGGCCAGTGTCAAACATGTGTCTTTTGAAAATACCTTTTATAAAACGGGAGGGGGAATTTTGGGTAATTAGTAGTAGGTCGTTGCCTATCATCTTTAGGAATGGAAGATTTGGTTGAGGTTATTGTATAACTTATGATTTTAGATAACCAATGCTTAAATAACTAAAATAACTAAAATAACTTAAAGAAATAAATAACTAAAGAAATAAAAAA